GAAAACCATCAGCAGATGTTATCTCATTTAGTCTTCAGAGTCTACCACCTGAAGTGGCAGCCATCCCATTTTACAGTGGACCAATGCCATATCTAGGGTATAGTGGAACCAAGTTTTCACCCTTGGTCTTCCTCATTTGAAGACGGGTGTTACGTTTGCAAATCCTATGTTTACTCCATGCTTTGTTTATTGGCCCTGCTTAGTGCTTGATCTTGTCTAGGGATAGGTTTTCCCAGTTTAGACTTGACTGTGACCACAAATTAAAGGCAAATATAGGGAAAAAAGATTAACTTGCTAGTTATGAAAGATATACAGACTAGAGCAGAATTAAGGTAATGTTTTATCCCTACTAAGTCAGTAAAATTAAAGATGGTCAGGGCCTCTGTAGATACAGCAGTGATAAAACTGAAGCCTTATTTGTTGCAGAGTGTAGTATAAACTGGTGCAGCCCTTTCGAAAGGCAGTATAATACCTGTCAAGACACAAAAAATTGTTTGTATCCCTTGAACTCATAATCTTATTTGTGGAAAATTATTCCAACAAAATTCAACAGCATAAGGATACTATATATGCAAGGATTTTGCACCAACATTATGGAAAATATAACAAACCAAGTGCCCAACTGAAGAGAAATAGATAACTTAGGTTACATAATTCTATTGGACTATTCTCCAGAGTATTTAAATATTATGCAGATTATGGAGCAGCATGTATGCTCACTGTAAAATAGTCATAAATATTAAAAATTATAAAAAGCAAAGCAAAGATCCTGTATACTTCCAAAGTTAGGAAGCTAGCAATGCAGGTATTTTTATGTTTTCTGTTGATTGAGTTCTCATAATGATGTTGGGTGTAGCAATCAGTTAAGAACCGGATTGTGCTTTGCTTGGATTGACGCCGCTGGTTATAGGGGAAAAAAAAAACTTTCTCAAATGGGAAACTACTGTTGTGACTAAACAAGGCATACCAGCTTTGGTTCAATATCTGGCTGCTGTGTTTGAGTCTTTGGTTAATGTCTGTGATCCTCGTTGCAATAAAACTGCAAGATCAAGACCAGATATGACGGGGCACTGGGCCTGAGACTTCTGGATGGAAAGGCAGCAGGAAAGCATTTCTATGTTTTTGTTGTTGCTAATCGTTTTGACCAACTGTTACTTTTATCTCTACATAACAAGATACAGGACACCTTTATTATTGAAATTTCTATGGGACAAGTATACTGATTCTAGATTTAGTTCTCTTTTTCTAAATGAAATGATTTAAAAATTTTTCTCATATAATACATGGGTTCACATAAATGACTTTTTCGCATAACAATTTTTGATGATGTGAAGTTTCTTAGAAATATAATGATCACGTAATAGCAGAATGGTTTATATTAGTTTTTGTTGCACATGTGTAAACTATATAAGAGAATAATATATGCAACACTTCATTTTTTTTTTTTCATTTTCTTATTTTAAAATGCCTTGAAAATAAATTTCTAATTATGGAGAACCATTGGCTATTGATTGATTAATTAATTAATTAATTAATTCCAGGTTAATTAATTCTAACCCGGAAAATAACAAGGAATCGGTATCTTGCCAGTATTTAGATTTGTCATTGAGGAACATGGAGTGTCTTTCCAATTACTCATTCGATGGAGTTTTGTAATTATTTCTAAATAGGAAATCTCTAGATCATTCATATGTGTTTTGTTTGTTGTTTTTGTTGTGATTGGCTTGTTTTTTCTTTGGTAAATATTTTTTCTTTGGTAGTGATTTTTAGATTTTTCCCTTGGAAACTTCCCTTTCTTTAGTGTCTCCCTTCTTACTTGTCAGTGTCTCTCTTGAAAGGCACAAATGTTCCTTTCCCCTCTGTTTTTTTGCTTTTGTTTTTTTAACTACAGCCCCAGGATGGGCCTCTGCTTCTTCCAGGGTTCTCTTGCCCATTTTCAACTAGTTTGGTTCGATTTTAAAACTTTAACCCACCTCTGAAGTTAGCCCTGTTCCATCTCTGCTCCTTGTCAGACTACATTAAAAATCTAGGTGTCTTTTACACATTGTCTTTCTCTTCCTCACAGTATCTGCCTTGATGATGAAATCAAAAATTGTTTTATTGCATTCTCCCTGAGAGTCTGATATTTTAGCAAAATCTGAGCCATGAGCTTCTTAAATGAAGCCACCTTCTACTCACTGGTCACGGTCTAGGTTGTCAATGACTTAAGGGTAAACCTGGTTGACAAAACTACAAATGGCATTTATTCCTTCCTTCTTGCTGCTGAAAGTCTCACTGAGTTTTTCTTCTACTCCAATGGAAGAAGGTGCCACATCTCACTTGGCAATGGTTCTCACCGTGGCATTACATTAGCATCACTAATGGGCTTTTAAAAAACACTTGCTGAGGCCTCATCTCCAGATTCTGATTTAACGGGTCTAGGGTGAGGTGTTACTATTATAAAAAACAAGCAAACAAAAATCCCTTCAGCTTATTGTAACGTGCAGCCAGGGCGGAAAGCCCTTCCTGATGTAGTGAAGCTCCCATTCTGTTTTACTGGATCTGGGAAATCCAGAAGCATGATTGAGGCTTTGTTAGTGTGTCTATCCCACAGCCCTGGTGAGGAGTAAGACAGAGCTTGATGAATATAAGCAGGTCTGATATGACCTGCTCCTGACAAAGGCCTGTATACCAACGCTCTGTGCACTCTGAGAGTCATTTGTTTAACCGAGTGACAGAGGTTAAGTATCAGTTACTGTGACACAGATACTGTGCTAGATGCCATGAGAACAATTTGACGAGGGCTTGCTTCATCCTTATGGAGGTTAGAGTCGATGACTCTGTTTTGGTTCTAGAAATGAATTCCTGTCCTGTGAGGATGTTCCTGCTTATTCCACGAGCAGGGCTGTCTTTGGTACTCAGCTAGGCCCCCTACCCTACTCTCCCGTAGGTAACATACTATTCAACTCAACCTGCCCCACGTGGCCAGATAATATTCATGGCTCAGGAGAGAAATGACCAGGACCTTGACTTCTTCATCTACCAACCAGACTAAGGTTACTAAGTAATACTAGTAGTACTGGTCACCCCTGTGCCTTTTCTCTTAGTGAGCTTAGCTGGGCCATGAACTTGGAGCCTGGAACTCTTGGGCTGTCTGGTGAAGGGTGAACTTTTAAGGTTCAAGACTAAAGGCAGCTGCAAATGACCTGTTTCTGACCACTTTTTTCTGACACACATCTCAGTCTCAGCCTTAACCTTTCACTCTAACTGAAGGCAGAGGAAGTGAGTGTTGAGAAAATTCCATTAAGGAGGATGAAAGCTTACCAGCTTCCCTAAAGCCTTGATGCAGTGAGGCCACAAAGACCATTTCCTGTCCCGCTTGCCCTGGGTCCTTTAGTCCTGGAGGCACTTCCCTCCCAAGCAGAGGTGAAACCTGACCCCACCAGCTGTAGGGAGCGATTAGGGACCAAAGAAAACAGCTGAAAAAGAATACCAAAGTAGTAAGCGATCAAAAGAGTAGATCTAAGAGTGAGTTCTTTTCATAATTCCCCTACTCCTCATTTCTGCTGTCCAGGGCTTCACTTGATGCACTTGAGCTACGTCAGTGTCCCCACCCCCTCCTCTCCACAGAAGACTGCATGCAACACAGATTGATGTAGGGTTGGCCATTTTTCAAGAACATTTTTCACGTTCATTGAGAATTGGCCTTCAGAATTGTGACTTGTTTTTTTTCATCACTATAATGATAGCAAGTAATCATTTTTTAAGAATAGATTTGATTTTTCATACAACCAGAAATCATTCAGGATGTAATTTGTTGAATACCCTGTGTTGAGGTTATAAATTTGATCTGAAGGTAGTTTTCCATGACAGAGTTCAGAAATGCTTTGGGTAAAAGCAGCATTCATACATAATGTTGAGCACATACTTTATAGCCCCTGCTCTGAGCACTGGGGATACAGTAAGACTGGCATTCTAGCTAGGGGAAAGGAGTTTACAAATGAATGAGGAATAAAACAACCAAAAATACTAAAGATGTTGCCAAAATAATACAGTTTCAGGAAAGAAGTATGAAGAAGAATGGAGGAGGGGGGGAAAGGTGGAGGTGAGCTGGTTTTGAGAGTGTGATTTAAGGTAGGCTCTGAAAAAGGGGTACTTGGGCCGAAGCCTGAGTCTTATGAAGCACAAAGCTGTGTCATGGTATGTTCTGGGTAGTGGCAGCAATAAATTAAAGTTGTTGAGGTAGGAACCGGCTTGGTGTGTTTCAGAAACACCAAAGGAGGAATGTAGGGGGTGCAGAGTAGAGGAGAGGGCAGACGATAGGAGATGAGATTGGAGACGTGGAGATTCTGAGGGTGATGGAAGCAGCTGGAGGATGTGCCATGCTGGAGTCAGTGTTGCCTTCTAGGGACATTATTTTGAAGGGTAATATTAGTTTGTCTTTTAGGGACGTTATTTTGAAGGGTAATACTATTTTGTCTTCTAGGGACATTATTTTGAAAGTAAAGACTAATTTGTATTTATGACTTAAGACATATGTCAACAAGCCAGTGTTAGGATGGGTGGAGTTGAGGAATAAATCCATATCCTTGAACATACTTAGAGTATTTTTGCAAGAAGATCTGAGAAAGCAATGGCAGTGTTTCCTGGGTGATAGATTGTGACACTGCAGGCAGGTCAAGAGAGGAAGGGGTATCTGTTAATCTCTTCTTTAGTAATATTTGATTTGTTACATGCATTTTTTTAGAAGCTTTTTCATAATATACCATATGTGTGTATGTGTGTAAGATTTGATTTTTTGCGGAAAGAGTATAGCTGCTGTGTTTGTGAAAACACAAAGACATCTTTAAAGCAGTTTCTCCTCTGAGGTAATTTGATAAGTGATGGTAAGCAGCGTGGCATTTAGATTTTTGTGAAACCCAGGCATTGACACTGTTTTCAGTGCGTGAAATATGCTCTATTTAATAGATAACACTTTAAAAAAAAAAAATCAAACGAAATCTTTTGCTCTTTTTCCCCAGGCAACAGAAACAGACAACAAAATCAGAATATGCACCCGGGCCTATCATCTGCTTGTGAAAAAACTGGGCTTTAATCCGAATGACATCATTTTTGACCCAAATATCTTAACCATTGGTACTGGGATGGAAGAACACAACTTGTATGCCATTAATTTTATCCAGGCAACAAAAATCATTAAAGTAAGTGTAGGCATTTTCTCTCCCAAGTCATGGCTCACATTTATCCCATAGGTCTAATCAGTGGTTAGAGCTGACGTATATATTTATTGGCTGGAATGTTAACATTCTTGTTCTTAGTTAGTAAAGTGTTTTTCTGAAATGTAGGAGACCTTATTTTTTTTCTTTAGTAGAGTTTTAACTTGTGTAACAAATAGACTGGAGAATATAACAGCTTGATGAAATCACTCGAACCTAGGAGGGTGGAGTTTGCAGTGAGATTGTGCCACTGCCCTCTAGCCTGGGTGACAGAGTGAGACCCTGTCTCAAACAAAACAAAACAAAAAACCACAGAACCTAATAAATAATTAATTATGAAGCATATAAGAGCCTTCACTTAGGTCTCAAAATAGAGCATAGCTAGCGCCCCCATCTGTCTCTCCTTTTCCAGTTATACCTCATTCTCAATTTTATAAAGTAGCCATCATCCTGAGTTTTATGATGCTACTTTATTGCTTTTCTTTATAAATTTATTGCTTATATACATAGAATATATATGTTGACTTGCATCATCCATGGATTTTGTATTTGCAAATTCATATACTCACTGAAATTTATTTGTTACCCTAAAATCAATACTCATGTCACTTCTGCAGTTACTCAGACATACCCGTATGCAGAGTGGTGGACAATTTGAATGGCCCAACCCATACGTTCCCGAAGAGGTAGAACAGGGCGGTGATCTGCCCTCTTATTTCAGCCCTCATCCTGTATACAGATGCCCTTTTTGCAGTCTAATGCCATGTTGTTCATATTTTAATGCTTTTTGCTAGTAAGGTCACTTTTTAAAATGGTCCCATCCTAGTGCTATCTAGTGTTCCTAAGTGCAAGAAGGCAGTAATATGCCTTATGGAGGAAATATGTGTGTTAGACAAGTTTCATTCAGACATGAATTATAGTGCCATTGGTGGTGAATTTAGTGTATATATTAAATAAAGCATCTTAACACATAAACGCACAAAACAAGGTTATGTATTGATTGGTTGACAAAAATGTGATCAGAAGCTCACAGGAACCTAACCCTGTATTTCTCCTAGGGGCAGTGCTCCAGTATTCCCTAATTCAGTGTTTGCAATGACTTTATAGAATATAACTACCACAAAATAGTAAAAATTGACTGAATATCTGAATGATATAGTTTAGTTTTGCCTGCTCTTGAGCTTAATAAATATTGAATCATATTTTCATGCTTTTTTTTCTTACTCAATTCATTTTAAAGATGTCTCTGTGTGGCTGTAGCTGTTTGTTCATTTTTATTAAAGTATAATATTCTATGGTATAACTGTATCACAATGAACTGTTTATTGTTGATGGACATCTAGTTTGTTTCCAGCTTTTGGACATTATGAATAATGCTGCTCTGAGTATTCTTCTATATGTATCTTAGACATACATGCCTGAGCTTCTCTGTAGCATATACCCAGAAGTAGAATGGTTGACTCATGGTGGTAGATAATAACAAACTGTCTCCCTAGATTCTTGAGCCAATTTTTATTTGAATCGATAGAGTTCCTGTTATTCCACATGCCTGATGATGCTTGATATTGTCATAGGTATGGTAGGAACTTCAGTTTCCTTTTCTTCTTTTATAGTTGGTCAAGTTTATAGTGAACTAGGGAGTTTGTTCATTTAGGCTGTGGAAGCCTTCTAGTAATTTGTGCTTTCGATGAATAAGGAACTCCTTTCTTTCTGTGTGTGTGTGTGTGTGTGTGTGTGTGTGTGTGTGTGTGTGTATACGTGCGACATACACTGTTTGTCTTTCTGTCTCCCTCTCTTTCTCTGTCATTTACCCAGGAAATAGTTTATGGAACACTCAGTGTATATTAAGTCCTATCATGGTCACTCTAGAGGTATACAAAATTAAAGTAGAATTTTGTAGTTTTCCTTAGGGAGACTGGAGTCTTAGTAAGAAAATCTACTTTTGAAGCACCATAATATGGAAGCCTTGGTGTATGTCTAATAACAAGACACTCTCAATTACTTTGAACTTTGTACTTTTTTTAACTTTTTATTCCTGTATAAAACTTAAGAAATGTGATTGCTGCTTTTGGCAAGATAGGGGAATCTTTTCATATTTTAAAATTTTTGCCAGGAAACATTACCTGGAGCCAGAATAAGTGGAGGTCTTTCCAATTTGTCCTTCTCCTTCCGAGGAATGGATGCCATTCGAGAAGCAATGCATGGGGTTTTCCTTTACCATGCAATCAAGGTATGGTAGAAGAACTGTTTGCCCTGTGGAAACCAACTTTTACTTGGGGCAAGGGTTTTCAAATTGTGGTGTGTGGGCCAAGTGTGGCCTGCTGCCAGTTTCTGTAAATAAGATTTGTTTGAGACAGAGCCACACCCATTAGCTTATGTCTTGTCTGGGGCTGCTTTTATGCTGTAACAGCAAAGTTGAGTAGCTGTGACAGAGGCTACGGCCTAAAATAGTTTTATCTGGCACTTTACAGAGAAAAGTTTGCTGATCTCTGACTTACGGTATCACTGTAAATTCTCATTTTTATTTGTATTACTCTTAGTTTGGCATGGACATGGGGATAGTGAATGCTGGAAACCTCCCTGTGTATGATGATATCCATAAGGAACTTCTGCAGCTCTGTGAAGATCTCATCTGGAATAAAGACCCTGAGGCCACTGAGAAGCTCTTACGATATGCCCAGGTAGACAGACAAGTGTTCTAATGGATGGATTTTTTCCTATCTTTGAATTTACTACTCACCTTCAGTTAGTAGACCTTCATTGTGGAATAGAAGCAAATATCTAATCATGTCTTTGGACCACTGAACATACCTACCGAGAGTTGCAGAGATGGTGGTACAGCTAGGGCAAGGAAGGGTAAACAGACCATGCCTAGGCTGCTTCCATATTCTGAACTTAGGTTCCTTTAAATTTATTTTAAAATGTAAAATTTGTTTTTCTTGTACCAAGTAACATTTTAGTTCTAGAAAATTTACAAATTCTGGTAAGCAAAGGAAGAAAATAAAAACCACTTATAATCCTGTCACCCAAAGTTAAATATTTGAGATTTTGTTATAACCTTTAAGTAATGGGAGTTTTTTTTCTTTTTGCAAAATGAATATGCATGCATAGGTACATATACGAACAGTTTTTCCAAAAATAGAACTATGCTCTAGATGCTTTTATGGTAATACTTCTTTCTTAGCAGTGTACTGGGAACATATTTTCATTTTACTTGATATTTTTCTACCTCATTATTTAAAATAGCTGTTCTGGATATTCTCGTGTGGCTATGTTTGTATGACATGGTCCTCACTGTTACTTGTTTTGGTTTGTGTACCTGTTTGTGTTAGGATCCAGTCCATCTGCAGCAAAGTACTGCAGTTCAAGACTTGAGTTCTATATGCATTTGATCTATAAAAAATGAGTATAATTATGGCTAATTCAGACATCAGCTTGTTTCTCACTTATAGGTTGGCCACAGCCTTAGGCACATGAAGTATCTATCGTAGGTGCTGCTTCCTGGAATTCAGTTTAAAGAAAGTTGAGATCTTTATCTCAAAAGGACTTGCATTTTAATCTCTTGAAGAGAATGATGACAACGGGAGATATTTTTCCCACAAAGCGTGTTGAGAACGTGATAGGATGCTTTTGTGTCTGTTGCCAACCTTGTTAATGTTTTCCATGTTAGAATATGAATTTAGCTCTGACAGAACTGCCAAGTTTTCCTTTTCCACGGAAGAGTAATGAGACGCTCTGTAAGAAGGATAGGACAATATGGGATTAACCACATCCTTGTTTTATCTGCCTTACTAGTAGTAAGACTGATTTCTGAAATTGCTTGTGGAAGCCTTAGGCTCAAGAAAGTTAATAGGAGTTCAGACACTGCCAATGTGCACATGACCCTCCTCTCAGTTCCTTAAAAACATGTATAGTTTCTCATATGGACCCAGAACAGAATGTCTTGTTTGGTTGTGGCAAATGCAATGAAGTTCTGCTTCTCAGTGCATTACTTAAGAAACACTCCATAGATTTTTAATGTTTTTTCTATTTTCTTGACCATTTCTGCTCACATAAGACAGAGTGCTTATCTGTGTCTTAATTCTTTGAACATTGAGACATGGGTGTTAAACACCAGTCAGCTTGGAGTCATGGTCTATCTTCTACCAAGTAGGGGGTCCTTCATTAATAACTGTTAACAAGTTCTGTTGAAGGCCAAACGGGCATCATGGCCTCTATAATCATGAAGTCATACTAGAGAGTTCTTAACCCGTGAAATGATATGTTTTTGTCTTTTCCCTGATCTGTCCAGAGGAGGCAGCCCTCTTACTTAGGAAAGGGGCTCCTTATTTGTAAGACCATTCCCATTTAAGGTTTTTTTGGCATCGTATTTTGTGCTTTTGGTCTGTATTCACTTTTAGCATTTGCTTACAAGTTTTCATTTCTGTATATCATGATGAGCTGCCAAGAGGTTTGCCCTGGAGGCACTGCCAGTGTGAGGGAAGTCTTAATAGCAATTGCAAGAGCTTAACAATTCATCATATAAGAATTTCCTCATTCTTAATGTAACCATGAGGGCTTCTCATAAGCCTCTGACCTCTCTGTCAGGGAGGCTGTCTACATTCAAGGTGACTTCTGTTGCTGTTAAGAGAATTCATAACCAAAGCAGGTATGCTCAACTCCCAGGAGTCGCCGGCTCTGTAGCAATTCCTTAGGATGCACTGAGTGCCAGCGGAGCATGAAGAGCAGGAATATTATGAGGGAAATAAGTCAAGGGATTTTTTTCTCTTTTATAAGAGAATGATCTCTTTTGGTTATTGCACCCAAATTCCTGTCTGATATATTATTGAAACTAGTAGGAAGAGCGCTGCCTCTGATCTTCCAAGGTTCTCCAACCTCACATTTGGGGAGTAATGGGATTTTTTTGAAAAATAATTTTCCTAATTTAGTTAAAGCTGACCTGTGGTAGGTAAATTCTTTTTGATAATAAAAACTTCCAGATACCATGTAATTTGCATGGCGTATCTTTATTAAATGGTACCCTAATGGAGGCCAGGCATTCAATGGAGTGGAAGAATTGCTGCTCTGGGTGGGATGGCTCTGGAATGACCCTGGAGCTTGAGAATATTCTTGATACTTTCAGGGAAATGTTTCTGTTCTTTGACTTGGCCTTGACCCTTCCCTTTGCCATTGGAACTCACATTCTTTGGCTTTCCCTGCAGCAGTTTACTCACCTTTATAACCTACACAACCCTGAGGCCCCTGAGAGGCAGAAACAACTCTAGAATAGGAAGAAGTAGTTTTTCTCATTAGCTTTGTACACGTACAGGTACAAGGAGTAGCCAGATGGACATGACAATTGCTTGGTCAGTTTGCTTGGTAGCTTTCCATCTCCTAGGCTTCCACAGTGTGCCTGGGTCTGGTCTTCCCTAGTGTGTGAAAACTGTGTAGCACCTTGTGTGAATGTCATGGGGAAATCCCTATTGAATAACTACATGAAAAGTAAGATGGGCCTCCACATGCCACTGTGTACTTCTGAAGTACTGCTTTGAACAGTACTGTTTCATTTTAAGTATTGCTTTCCTGAATCAAGTTCATCAGGTTTAGAACATAGCTATCAGGTGGGATAGTTTGCAGACATTGCAGCCTCCAACACTGCAGTGAATTCTTTACTGCCCTTTGTATCCTCCTTTGCCTCTGTCCATAATCGTATATATTTTGCTGCCTTCCAACCCCGTAAGTCTGGCACACTGTGGTATTTTTCAGTGAACACATCAGTTCCTTTTTTCAAGAGTGTTTGGAACATGCTGCCTTGTTTTTACAAAACTCCATCCCCCAGGCAGGAATTGTCTGATTGTGTGATAAATAGAACAAATGGTGTTTACAGGTATCCAGTGATGCAACTGTGAACATTAGGACTTTTTCCTTTTTAATTACTATCTCATTCAGGTTTCTCAACATATGAGAGCCCTTGTGTTGTCATTATTGCACTGACCACCTTGGCCCTCAGTGTTGGACTTCTCCCCAGTTCCTTCCTCCTCTCCCTCTTAGTCGTTGTCTGTTAATGCCTTTATATTTGTCCTTTCCTTTCCTCTTGTTACCACTGCTGAGTCTAGGCCTTCGTCATGGACTGTTGAAATATTCTTCCCCTCTTGTGATTTCCTTAAAAATGTTACTTTGAATGTTACTCTGCAGCTTTAGAACTTTGAATAATGTCTCACCTCTCTCCCATAAAATTGCCTGGAAGGTTAAATTTAAACTCCACAGAGGGATTTTGGTCCCTCTGTGGCTTGGCTTCTACCACCCTGAACAAATATTACTCCAGTGAAATCAGTCTTTGTTTAGCATTAATTCATCCAGCTAATATTTACTGAAGTGTGTCTTTGTGACATTCATTTGACTGAACTTAGAGGATCTAAGTAGTAAGAGAGATGTACCCCTACCCTCTCAGAGCCTACAGCTCAGTGACACATGCAAAAATGTACAGAGGGGATTGTAACCCAGCACAGCAAGTGCTGTGAGAGGGGAAGTACAGGATGCTACAAGGCTGAGGGAGATTCTGACCCCAAACTAGAGTTCAGAGAAAGCTTCCTAGAGGAAGTGATAGGTCAGGTGAGGCCTCAGAGAAATAAAGGAGGTAGCCAGGCCAAGGTTTGGGGATAGACTGCAGTGCTGGCGATCCCTGCCAGGGGAGGGATATTTGCAGCTAGCCAGAGTCTGACATTGTGGTAGGTACTGTGTAAATGTATGTCAGATAAACAAATGTGAAGGCCTGGAGGTGAAGAGATGATGGAGAGCCTAAGGAACAGAAGTGTTCTTGATGGCTGAAGCTTGTTGGGAATAGCAGAAGATGAAGCTCTAGGAGAAAGCCAGATCAGGTGTATTAGTCCATTCTCATGCTGCTAATAAAGACATACCCAGGACTGGGTAATTTATAAAGAAAAAGGTTTGATGGACTCATAATTCCACATGGCTGGAGAGGCCTCACAATTGTAGTGGAAGGCGAAAGGCACGTCTTCCATGGCAGCAGACAAGAGAGAGGACTTGAGCAGGGAAACTCCCCTTTATGAAACCATTAGATGTTGTGAGACTTACTCACTATTGCAAGAACAGCACTGGAAAGACCCGTCCCCATGATTTAGTTACCTCCTGTGACATATGGGAATTGTGGGAGCTACAATTCAAGAGGAGATTTGGGTGGGGGTCACAGCCAAACCACATCATCAGGGCATTGGATGGCATGGTAAGGAGTCAGTACCATGTCATGAAAGCAATAGGAAACTTACACAGGGATTTTTTTCAGAGGGAGCAGTTGGATTAGATTTGCATTTTGGATGCATCCTTTTGGCTACAGTGTGGAAGACGAATCAGAGACCAGAATGATTCTGGTCTGTGGAGACTCCTTAGTTCTTGGACTGTGAAAATGGAAGCAGGATGGTGAGAAAAATTAAGGTGTAATCATTAGGATGAGGTGATTTTTTGATTGAACTTGAATAGTGAATGGAGATTCAAGGATGGTACTTAGGTGTCTGGTTTGGCAGCTGGTACCAGCAGTTGAGGTGGAGGAAACAATAAAGGAATGCAGTTTGTCATATGTGCTGTGATCATTGCACGTTTGTTCCTTTGCTGAATCTGCCCCATCTCAACATTCAGCTTCTTTGAAACCTTTCTTTGCCACCCTAGCTTATGATAACCATTCCTTCCTCAAAATTCCTACATACCTAGTCTGTATTATGTACTCATTCAGCCCTTGACATATATTCTTTCTTTCTTTATATATTTTCTACCTCTCTAATGTTATGGCTTAGTTTGTTTTCTTTTGGTCTAATGGAATAGCAGAGACTTGGTAATTTATAAAGAATTTTATTTAACTTACAGTTCTGGTAGCTGGAAAGTCCAAGAGCATGGCCTTGGCCCCTGGTGAGGGTCTTCTTGCTGTGTCGTGACGTGGCAGAGGGCATCTCATGTCAAGAGGGCAACAGTAGGAGAGCCAGAGAGATAGCAAACCTGCTTCCATGGTAGCAGCATTAATCCATCCCGCATTAATTCATTCGTGGGGGCAGAGGGATTAAGTTTCCAACACCACTTTTGGAGGACACCTTCAAACCATATCAGTGGCAGAGTCCTTGAGAGCATAGTCTGTGTCCTACATCATCTCTTAGTTGTGCCCACCTTTGATGTCAGACATAGCTTCATGGTGGCCTCCCTGCATCTGTTTGTGGGTAATGGAGATCCTTGTTGAGAGCTTTGAAGGCTCATCAGGTTTGAAGTATAGCTTTTCCTATTGTCCTGGGAATATTTTGTCTTGAGTTGTTATTTTTAGAAAAGAAGGAAAGAAAAGAAGGGAACCTTACTCTGTCTCTGTATTAGCAGTTCAAACTCTAAAAGATTTCTCATTTTTCCCTCTCTTTTCCTCAAACATTCATTGAGATCTTATTTTATTCTGGACAGCCTACTAGGAGCTGGAAAAGCAAAAAATAAGACACAAGGTGTTGTTTTTTTTCCTGCCATCAAACAGTATGGTTAGTGATAAGTTGTATCCATTTCTTGGTTTCAATGTCAATTCAGACTCATGGCCAAGGAGGGAAGAAGGTCATTCAGACTGACGAGTGGAGAAATGGCCCTGTCGAAGAACGTCTTGAGTATGCCCTTGTGAAGGTGAGTTATAGGAGCCTGAACTGGAGGGCTGGCAGCTCATCATGGCTGACTGATGCTGTTCTTGGAGGTGTGGTACTGACAGTGGCTGGAGAGGGAGATGCCCCAGACCACTGATTCTCAACCTGGGGAGGCCCCCCGTCTCCCAAACTCCCCACCCCCCACAGTAGCACATTTGACGGTGTCCAGAGACATTTTGATTGTCGTAACTGTGTGTAGGAGGTATTACTGGCATCCTGTGGCCAGGGATGCTGCTAAGCATCCTGCAGTGCGTAGGATAGCCCTAAACAACAAAGGATATTCCCTCCCGAGTGTCAGTAGTGCTGAGGCTGTGAATCCTGTCCTGGACCAAGTTGCTGTCAGTTGGTCAGCAAGTCAGTTTCATAGTTGGAATTTAGGCTTTGCCCAAGATCAGTAATCTCTTGGCTTCAGTTTCCTCATGTTTGAGTCTGGAGAATCTCAGAAGTTTTTTTTTTTTGTTTTGTTTTGGCTCTGGAGTTTAACGTTTAGCTCTTGGGCCTTTTGAGATTTACATATTGCAATTTGTGGAGCTAGTCAGCCCATCCAAAGATCATTGAACTGGGGACCCTGGAGGAGAGTGGCTTGGCAGTGAAGGTTGGATAAGTCACTGGAGGCTTCATGGATTTGAACTTCATTTAAGGGCCCCATCCAGTGTCACTTCTTCCCCAGCTCTACAGCATTACAGTGAGAAAACTTACTCATTTCATTAATGTATAACCTGGTAAATGTGTTTTATGATGCATTTGAGCTTATTAGGCCTTCTCTATTAGCTCATTTTACTGAGGTACATTTTAAAGCATTTTTTAATTGGCATATAAAATTATAGGTATTTACTGCATACAACATTCTATTTTGGAAGTATATGAGGTATTTACCTTGTATCAGTAAAGCCGGCTGAGCACTGTATCTCAAGCCTCAAAATAAACATATGAGATACTATTGTAATATTCCAAGGCTTATTGAATTAATTGAGGCCTAAATTAGTGATAGGAAGCCAGATTGAACCCATCCACTCTAATTCTGGAACCCATGCTCTTAAGCATTTTCATGCTGGCTCCGTGGAGGTAAGCCAATTTTTTAAGTGATTTTTTTTCTTTTTGTCTTCTTTAGGGCATTGAAAAACATATTATTGAGGATACTGAGGAAGCAAGGTTAAACCAAGAAAAATATCCCCGACCTCTCAATATAATTGAAGGACCCTTGATGAATGGAATGAAAATTGTTGGTGATCTTTTTGGAGCTGGAAAAATGTTTCTACCTCAGGTTGGCAAAAGATGGGGAGAAATTTTCACAGTTGACTCTTTCCTTTGCCATTTAATAAATACTGATTTGGGGTATATTTCTCAGGTTTAATTTGGACAAGTGTTCAATTGTATTGTCTAGTTATTCCTTCTTTAAATATATTTAGGAGTCATGTCTGGAAAAGTCCATTGTTAGAATGATGTGGATGTTACAAAATCATCTGAAAATTCATAGCAACGTGATCTATCATAATCTTTATGTTCTCATTTTTGTATCATCTCTTACCCCCAACGCCTTTCTCTTCCGCTCCCCAAAAGTACAATAAAACCCAAGGTAAATGTAGAGTTACTAACATTAAGACTTGAACAGGCACTGTTCATCTGTAAGGATGCATGTTTTGAGACAAATGTTACTGTTTTAAATAATGGTACAGTAAATGGTTTGCTTACAGTAAAACCAGAACTCTTATTTTGATTTATAGCAGCTACTAGCCACATCAGTTAACACATACTTGTTGAGCATGTAGGTTAGGGGCTGAGAAACTACACTGCCCTCACCTTGCCTAAATGTAAGGCTTAATTTTAAGTGAGTTGTAAAGGTGGGACTTGAGAAGAGAAGGCTTGGAATGAGCTCCTGGTGGGAAGACTGGTCTTGAAGGGTACATAGAACTCTTGGACACATGACAGAGGGCCTCCTAGATAGAGAAAGAGTAACAAGCAAAAGTTTCTAGCCTTGTTTTCCTTCTGTTGTACCTTATTATTCACTGGCTTTTCCTCTGGGAAGCTGATCCTTTATTCTGCCTGCTGTCAAAAGACTCCAGTGTAGCTGGCCTGCTGTCAAAGCATACATTCTTAATTTGTGCCGGAATCTCACAGGTGGCCATCGGCAGTTGTTCCTGTGGTTTGGTAAAGATCTTATGCTTTTTTCTCAGGTTATAAAGTCAGCCCGGGTGATGAAGAAGGCTGTTGGCCACCTTATCCCTTTTATGGAGAAAGAAAGAGAAGAAACCAGAGTGCTTAACAGCACAATAGAAGAAGAGGCAAGTCATTCTGTTCAGGCCTATGGCCCTTTAATGAGTTGGCCTGGAAGGCTTGTTGAGGTGGTGATAGGGGCCTAAGCAGTTGGGCTTGGCTGCATTTGTCATTGAGGATAAAACAGAGAAAGGATCCCACGTCTGTCCCTTTTTTAACCAAATATCAGAATACTCTGGGACTTTCTTTTGAATGTAGCTTTATAAAATTTTTAATATAGATAAAATTTTTCAGTCAAATCCCATGTTTTCAAGGCAAAATGAGTTGATTCCTTTGTTCCTTCATTAACTGATCATTTACAGACTCCTGTGATGTGCCAAGTACTGTGCTAGGCACTACTCAGTACGAATGTCTGTGCCTGCCCTTGAGGTAATTGAGCTTTGCTTGTTTTTAGAAAACTCTTAACTGAATATTCTCTTTCTGCTGGTGAGGTCCTTGGCACCACTTCTGGATTCAATTTAATTCTTGTTGGCTGCACCACCAGAGTAAATCATTAAGCTTTTTGACCTTGTTTAGCTCCCTGTGAAGCTCAGGCAGCTTTGGCCCCTAGGATTCCAAATTTTTAAACTGATCTGTGTGTGTGAATGGCTCAGACAGAGTTTATAAAAACCCTTCTTGTTTTGTTTGCTTCTTTTCTCTTTGTGGGGAGTAGTGGGGATGCCGACTGTGCACAGAACAGCAGTGCTGAGGAAAGATGGCTCACGTGCCCCCTGCCTGGGCTGTTGTGGAGGTTTTTCAGATTCCAGTGGAACATACACGGTTAACCTGTTCCTCTTCCTCTCCCTGGCCTCTCCCTTAATTGCTAACAGTAAACGTGTCACATAGGTTCCCCCCCGAACCAAAGTTAAGGATGTGGTCTTCAGCTGTGGAGCTGTTTTGTGTGTGAGCACCAACTGTTCTTTGAAAGGATGGGACCCCCAATCTTGGTGGAAGCCCCTTGGGTGGGCACATTAGGTGGACCTCCTTTGGACTGCTTGGGCTTTGGTTTCCAGGTCTGTCTTTGAGATGGTCTTGGTCATATTGAATTGCTTGCTATGCTGGCCCGTGCCTGGCTCTGGACAACTAGGTGATCTGTGCTGAACCACCCCACCTTGCTGAGCTGCTCGGCTTCTTTTCTAGGACCCTTACCAGGGCACCATCGTGCTGGCCACTGTTAAGGGCGACGTGCACGACATTGGCAAGAACATAGTTGGTGTCGTCCTCGGCTGCAATAATTTCCGGTAAGTTAGGGCCTCATCTCTTTCAACTCCTTTTCCATTTAAAAACGAAGGCTTTTTAACAGAGTAATTCTTTAACGGGTGGGAAGAGTAGGGCATGGCAGTGGATGTTAGAGGTTATTTTTTATTTCTTTTTGCTTACTGTTTGCTTACTTTTTGAATTTTCTACAGTGAACACAGCATTTCAGATGAAGTAAGCTAGTAATTATCTGTGCTCAATAAGGACATAAAGCATAGTAAAAGCTATTCCAGTGGGATCAAAACAGCCCAGAAGATTCCTGGGGTTGGATGTTGGGACAGAGGCGCTAATGGCTGGAGTATCAGGCTCCTTCCCATGGCCAGTGGTGTTCATCATATTCTCTTTTTCCTTTTAATAAACTCAGATTTTAGAACTGAGATCTTATGAGAACTTGGCTAAATGGAGTTTTCCAGGAATGCGTTACCTATACAAGTCTCAATTGGCTTTGCTTAGAACCAGGACCCTGTGTTCTTGGTGATGATTAAGCTAGTTTTTAGCATGTTTTATGCAAATAAAGCCCCTTTCTGGTATATCTCATTATAATTAGTAAATATTCATAACCAAGTCATTTTTGTGTAGGAGCTGATGACCTATAGTAAGTATATGTTTAGCTTAGATTTGAACATATTCTTTGTAATGAAAAGCCCTAATAGAAATAATGCCTTCCCTATCCATGTCTGGCCAACAGTCCTTTTGAGTCTTGGACTTCTTTCTAATGTGCTGTTTTCTCTAGACAGAGAAGAAAATTGACTGGAGCTATCCCTGTACCCCTCAGTTTTCTTCTTTGCTGTCAAGTAACAATTACCCTCTAAGTTCTCTCCCTGCTGTCAACATTTATATCCATCTCTGCCTTCAAGGCTAATTAAATGCAGCTAAGAACCTTTCAGGAAGGCTGGAGACAGAGGAGCAGTGTCAGGAAGGCAATTTTTTCCCTCTGTCTTCACAAGTACTTCATTTACCTGTTCACTTGCTGTCTAAAGACTTACCATTCTCTCCTAGTCCTAGAAATGAGGAATGCTATTTCTATCCATGTCTTTATTGTTTTTTTAAAAAGATAAATTTATTGGAGACAGGTAGTTGTGATGAAATTTTACCTATATAATAAATATTTGGATAAGGTGTTGGCATCCTGAGGTCTAGAAAGCATTTCTGCTGTTGGCTTAACCTTTGCAAACATGAGGTTGTTGGTTTCTGTTTGCGTTCATCGCCATCAGTGAAAATTCACTTCAGTTAATAATTGTTTATAGCTCACTTACTACATACCAGGCATTATACTATAGATGCTAAAATGATTTAGTTGACTTTTCTGCTTGAAGATGTTTACCATTTCTCAGGCTAAATAGCCAGGTACATGTTCAGCTTTAATAATGGGACTAGAACCATTGAAGAAGGTGACTTGTAGGTAAACTTCCTAAAAATGATTCTTGAGATATCACTGTCGTGTGTTTTATCATTATTTATTTTGATCAATGGATACTTAGCTAGGAGTATCATACAAGCAATGTTTATTTCTCCAGTAAAGACATTTTAAGAAGCCAGGGAACATTGTGGCATTTCTCCAGGGTGCTACTGGAATCAAATGTCAATAGTTATGAAGACTGCTTACTTAGCCTGAAGCTTTCCTGCAGCACATCCGGTTCCTGGGTGTTGTACATTGAGGGTTTGCTTATCTTTGCTAATAAGTCTAACAGGAGAAACACCTTTTGATGAAACGTTACTTTTATTTTACAAAAACAAGTGAACATGCAGACTTCATGTCCAAACCCCTTTGGTTTGTGTATGATCACACAGACTCTTCCACTGGTGAGTTTAATTTCACGGTGTCGGCTAGTAGGCAAGTGTCCCTGAAGATTGCCTTATGGAGTAATGTGTTCTTTTACTGTCAGTACCATGCTAGTATGCTTGAAGGAATTACCCAGTCTAGTGAGTGAGTCTAGCAGATGACGCTGTGTCTAATCCTTCTCTTTCATGGCTTTCTATCATTGTTGTAGTGAATCTCACAAAATGATAACAGTGTTCTTTTCTTTGTAGGGATAAAAGAAAGAGGGCTAAAAGGGACAGAATATATTTTTTAAATGGGGAAGATATGATGCAGTAGAATTGCAAATTTGAGGATTTGCATAGAACTAAATAGCACAGTTAATGCAAAAGAAAAGTTCTTAAAGGGAATGAAAAATGCTCCTCCAGTGAATACACAAATGATGGGAAAGCAAAGCAGCCTGATTGCTGATTGGAGGAAAGTTCGAGTGGTCTGGATGGAAGATTAAACCAGCCGCAATATTCCCTTAAGCCAGAGCCTCACCTAGAGCAGTTTGGTGTTGCCAGAGGGATACCGAATTGAAGAGAGCTCTGTCTTCAATTCTTTGAAAGCTGAGAGAGGTGAAGAAGCTGCAGAAGAAAAGTTTCAAGCCAGTAGAGGTTTATTCCTGAGGTTCAAGGAAAGAAGCCGTCTCCTAACATAGCAGTACAAGATGAAGTTCCAGTGTTGGTGGAGCAGCTGCAGCAAGTTATCCAGATCTAGCTGCAATCACTGAGGAAGGTGGCTACACTCAACAATAAGTGTTCAATGTAGATGAAGTGGCCTCTGTTGGATGTAGATGCCATAAGGACTTTCATAGCTAGAGGGGAGAAGTGAAGGCCTGGCTTCAAAACTTCAAAGGACAGGCTGACTCTCTTATGAGGAGCTAACACAGCTGGTGGCTATCAGTTGAAGCCAGTGCTCATTTGACATTCTGAAAATTCTAGGGCTTCAAGAATTATGTTCAATCTCCTCAGTCTTGTTCTGTAGATGGAATAACAAAGCCTGGATGAGAGTACCTCTGTTTACAGCATGGTTTACTGAATATTTTAAGCCTATCTTTAAGACCTACTGCTCAATAAAAAAGATTCCTTTCAAATATTACTCCTCATTGACAGTGCACCTGCTGACAAGAATTGATGGAGATGTGCAAGGAGATGAATATTGTTTTCATGCCTTCTAACAGAACATCCATTCTGCAGCCTGTGGATCAAGGAGGAATTTTGACTTTCAAGTCTTACTACATTTTGTAAGGCTGTAAGCTGCCATAGATAGTGATGGATCTGGGCAAAGTAAATAAAAAACCTTCTGTAAAGGATTCACCATTCTAGATGCCATTCAACCATTTGTCATTCATGGGAGGAGGTCAAAATATCAACATTAACAGGAGCTTGGAAGAAGTTGATTCCAACCCTCATAGATGACGTTGAGGGATTCAAGACTTCAGTGGAGGAAGTAACTGCAGATGTGGTAAAAATAGCAAGAGTAAACTGGAATTAAAAGTGGAGCCTGAAGATGGGAATGAATTACTACAGTCTCATAGTACAACTTCACAGATGTATTATTCTTATGGCTCAGCAAGGCTGAGCAGAGAAAGTAGTTTCTTGAGATGGAATCTACTCTTGGTGAAGATGCTATAACAGTGTTGAAATGACAGCAGAGGATTTAGAATAGTATGTAAACTTAGATGATAAAGCAGTGGTAACGTTTGAGATGATTGGCTATAATTTTGAAAGGAGTTCTGTTAGTAAAATGCCATCAAACAGCATCACTGCTACAGAGAAATCTTTTGTGAAAGTCAGAGTCAGTTGGGGCGGCAAAATTGACTGTTGTCTTATTTTGAGAAATTGCCGCAGCCACCCCAGACTTCTGCAACCACCACTGTAATCAGTCAGTGGCCATGAGCATCAAGTCAAGACCCTCTACCAGCAAAAAGATTACAGCTCACCGAAGACCTAAATGATAGTTAGCATCTTTTTTAGCAATAAATATTTTAAATTAAGGTATATACACATTGTTCTTTTAGAAATAATACTGTTGTGCACATGATGTTAAGCATGTTCTGAATGAAAAGACCACCTAAACAGGCTTTGTGTGAGCAACAATGCTGTTTATTCACCTTGGTGCCAGTGGGCTGATTCTGAAAAGAGAGTCAGTGGAGGGCGGTGGGATAGTTGATTTTACTGGTTTGGGGTAGGCAGTGGAAAGTTAGAGAAGTTATAGTTCAGGGTGGTTTTGCAAGCTGGGTGGGGGTGGGGTGTCATTGGGAGGTTGTCACGAGGTCTGGTGTCACAAGGTTGGCTTATCGGTTAAGCTGGAACAGTGGTGGAATGTCACAAGGTTGGTTAATTGGGCTATGCAGGAGCTGGTTGTCGTTCTGACTTCAGACTTTCTGCTCTGGGAGACCATCCAGGGGAGTACGCGCAGGTCACGGGGGTCGCCAGGGCTTGACTTAGGGTATGGCTATGGCCTATGGTGCAGCCAGTTCAAAGAACCTTGCACATAATAGAGTACGGTATAGTGTGAACAACTTTTATATGCATGGAGAAACCAAAAAATTCATGTGACTCACTTTATTGAGATACTTGCTTTATTGTAATGGTCTAGAGTTGAATCTATCTAGCATTAGTCTGAGTTACGTCTGTCATCTGAATTCCCCCCAAGAAATAATGTAGAATATTTGGAAATATTTTTATTTATTCCATTGAGGTTAATTTTATATATACTCTGTAATAATAACTAGGAAAAGACAAAAGAGGACATTTTCCATTTAACAGATAATCCACAGTTTATGTAAGAAAAACATACTATTTCAAGATAAATTTTAAAGTCGTATATCATATGTCTAATATTTTTAAACATGGGTCTGATAACCAGTGTTTCTTAATATAACTATCTAGTATGAGTAAAACAGCGGTATATGGCTAAGCATGAAAATAGCTCAGAACTGTGTAACGTTGGCACGTTCAGCTGAGTGGGGAGCATGACTGTGTCTCTGTCAAGGATGTAGTAATCCAGTCTCTCCTGAGCACTTTACATGCTCACTGATAATTATTTAGAGGCTTTTGATACATTTTTGAAGGGGAGACCAAGAGTTTGTTTATTTTTTTAAAAAGTGTTAGATAGAAGTAGCAACAGACCCTATTGGCACTGCTTAAGTACAGGTTGGAAACCTTGGCTGGGGACTGTAGACTGGATGGAAACACATGCCATCTAGTGGTAGCATCTGTGAATTGCAGGAGCAGCAGATAGGCTGCTACCTTAGTTAACCGAGAAATAAAGGGTAAAATGACAGCAAGTATCAGTTACCTTAAAAGAATACAGATGCAGTTTTATTTTCCTTTTAAAATTTATTCTGGAGAGGAAAAGGACTTTTTATCTCATATTGCAGTATTTATTTTTGAAATTCTATGTATTTTTTAAAAATCTAATCTTAAGTAGTATTAGATGCCTTTGCTAAAGGCAGATTAAGTAGTCCAGATTAAATGCTTCCTCTTATAGCTCTGTTCTGAGCACTTAAAAAAAGTTTTTTTTATAGAGACAAGGTCTTGCTAATGCTGCCCAGGTTGGACTCAAAACCCTGGCCTTAAGTGATCCTCCTGCCTTGGCCTCTTAAAGCACTGGAATTACCGGCATGAGCCACCATACCCAACCTCTGTTCTAAGCACTTTAAAACAAATACTATAAAATCAACATCTTCTGTAACATTCATTTTTGTTCTCTTTAGCCTCCCACATGACAAAATATTATAGGGAGAGGCCCACAGACATAGGGTATGGCTCAAAATGGCCAAGGGAAACTGAGGGAGAGTCAAGGAAGATGGGGTTATGTGTAAGCGTGAAGCAGGAGGTGAGGTAGAGGTGAGAGGGAAGGAGTGGGAAGGTGGGCAGAATGGTAGCAGGCACAGAGGACAGGCCTGGTTCTGAACTGTACCCTCTTCTCTGACTTCACATACCCTGGGATTCTAGCTGGATCAGGACTCTGGGCCTTCATAGTGCTGGTCTCTGCCTAGACTTCCCTGTTTCCTTCAGCTAATACCCACTTAATTTTTCAAAATTCATTTCAGGCTGGGCGCAGTGGCTCATGCCTGTAATCCCAACGCTGTGGGAGGCCGAGGTGGGTGGATCACGAGGTCAAGAGATTGAAACCATCCTGGCCAACAGGGTGAAACCCTGTCTCTACTAAAAAATATAAAAATTAGGTGGGTGTGGTGGTGCGTGCCTGTAGTCCCAGCTACCTGGGAGACTGAGGCAGGAGAATTGCTTGAACCCGGGAGGCGGAGGTTGCAGTGAGCTGAGATCGTGCCACTGTACTCTAGCCTGGTGCCTGGCGACAAAGGAAGAGTGTCTCAAAAAAAAAAAAATTTAATTTCAGGCTTCCCCCTAGGATGCTTCTAATTGTCATCCATTTTGGGCCTCCCATATATAGTATTCTGTAAATGCTTCCATTGTAGTACTTGCCACATCATATTCTAATTCAGAGCTTGCCAACAGTTTCTCAGCGCAGATGTGCCAGGAAACCCATTCTCTTTTCTGCTGGAGAGTACAGTGGGGCCTCCGTCTTAGATTGGTGGCCCGGGGCTGTGAGCAACTTCCTCTGTGTATCCCAGTGCTGTAAGTGTCGTTTTTTTATGTGTGGGGAAAGTAGGAAGTGCTCCTCTAGGCAGTAGTACATTTGACCATTTCCCCAGCAAGATGAAAGGCAGGTCAGTAAGCTGGAAATGGAACTTGTCACCCAGGCCCCTGGCTCAGCGTTCTTGGTCGACTTCTTACCGCACAGATCAGTGGTTGAGAAATCAGCTCTCCTGCTGATTTCTCCTCTGGGAGTGGTCTTTAAACACAGACATGTTCTGGGACTCAGCCCTTGGATTTCTCTGTCTTCACTGTCTAGATTTGTGTTCCTCACACTATAATGTGCCTTCTTGCCACCTGGGATTTTGTTAAAAGTCAGATTCTGATTAGGGTAGGTCTGGACTGGAGGCTGTGCGCTCCCACAAGCTCTCAGGTAGTGCTGGTGCTGCTGGGACAGGAGCACACAGGGAGGAGCAAGGCCTAGGGTGGGCTGAAGTCATCTCATTTGTTTTGTGACTTCAGTGTCATCTGATATACTGACAGGTCCCCAATTGTATCCCCAGTGTGGATCTCTCCCCCAAACTTAGACTTACATATCCAGTTGACTCCCTGAGTCTGTAAAGATCCATTTGGATCTCTAAAGAAATCTCAAATTTAATATTTTGAGATAGTTCAGTCCAAAGTAGATCTGTTAAATATAAGTCAGATTTCTTACTCCACTGTTGAAACCCTCCAGTGACTTTTTCCCCTCACTCAGTAAAACTCAGAGCCCTTGTAGTGGTCTGCAAGGCCCTTGTGTAGTGGATATAATCTGGACCCCACCCCTGGCCAGTTAAATCACAATCTCTGGAAAACGGAGTCCAGGCTTCTGGTTGTTTGATTTTGAAAAAAGCTCCCCCGGTGGTTCTGCAGTCTACCCAGGCTCTGGCCTTTCCTTCCTCCTTTGAATTCGTCACCCACAACTATCCTTCTCCATAGATGTTCCAGCCACAGCAATCTCCTTGCTCTTCCTTAAATGTGGCAAGCATGCGTATAACACGTTCCTGTGAGAAACGCTGCTGAAACAAGAAAAAGTAGTAAGAGCAAGATGATTCTTGCCATCATACTGATGAGTTTTAGTTGAATTTTAAAACATATACAATGTTGAAAAAAGAAATCAGCTTTGCCTTTTTGTCTTGAGTTAAAAGCAGTGTGCAGTTTTTCCTAGTTTTATATGTGACAGCCTATGCTTAGTCATTGTTTAATAAAAGATCCAGGTACTAGACTTTCTTCACTATGTTAAAAAGGGAAAAAGGAGTGCATGGCACCATCTCGCTCCTGCTGTAACCTGCAGTGGTCCTGCGTCATTAGCAGCTCCAGTGTGTATTTGCTACCGGGCTAGTGCCAGCCAATCTGAATATACTTATCATTGATTCGAAGTTCTCTTATTTTTACTGAAGATTCCATATGTCCTAGTTTTTTTTTAAAACTCTTTTTAAAAAAGTAATATGAGTCCAAGCTAAAAATTCAGTGGTATGAAAGGGCATACAGTGAGAAACCAGTCCCCTTCCTGCCCCAGTGTTCGGCACCCATTGTAACCAGTCAGTGTGTCATGTTGTAGTTCTTACGCATTCTTTGTTCTTGTTATTTAAACGTTTTTGCCTATTTAATTTTAAGAATTGTTGATGTAATGAAATAAGTAAAAATGCATGTCATAAGTTTTTCAACATCTTTTAACAAATAGAAGATTAAATTATCAAAATGACATTAAGGGCATTAACTCTAAAATAAAATAAAATAATTAATTCTAAAATAGGTAATTCATAGAACATTTTCCAGGGTAGCCATTCCTTTTCCTGTGAGTTCTAGGAAGCTCTCTCCTCCATGAGTTGAAATTTGTCTGGCGCTGCCCTGTTCTCTGAGAGTGTGCTCCAGGCTTCCTCTGCCCCAGGGCCTGCTTTGTCTCTCCTGTGTGCCCATTTAGAGTCAGCTTTTCCTTTGAGTGTTGCCCTCTTGCCCGCAGTGACCTGCTCCCTGAATCATTCTCCCTCTCTTGCCTTAAGTAATCGGGTTTCCCTGACAGCCGTTCATGTGCAGGACCTGACCCTCTTTCTGACAGTTTTCCCCATTGGCTTCCATGTTCAACAAATATTTATTGAGGAACTTGCCCAGCTCTTTTTATTGGCCTAAATGGATAAGATAATGGATTTTGGTTTGAGATACTGATTCAGATCCTAACTCTGCCTCTAATTAGTTGTATGACTAGACAGATTGCTTAATTTTTCTGGGCCCCTTCTCATTAAAATGAGGCCCATAGTAGTGGTTTCATTATAGAGTTACTAGGAGGATTTAATGAGATCGTTAATGCATTAATGATGGGCACTGTGGCTCGCACCTGTAATCCCAGCACTTTGGGAAGCCCAGGTGGGAGGATCACCTGAGCCCAGGAGTTTGAGACCAGCCTGGGCAACATAGGGAAACCCTATCTACAAAAACTTTAAAAATTTTTGTAGATTTAGTGGGGCATGCCTGTGGTCCCAGCTACTCTGGAGGCTGAGGCAGGAGGTTGAGGCTGCAGTGAGCTGTAATCATGCCGCTGCACTCTAGCCTGGGTGACAGAGTGAGACCCTGTCTCAAAAACAAAAGAGATTGCTTATGTGAAAAGCTTAGCACAGTGTCTTTCAAAAGGTGAGTGGATAAGCAAAACGTGGTATCTCCATACAGTGGAATATTTTTCAACCTTAAAAAAGACTGAACTTCTGACATGTCTCGAAACATGTTTGAACTTTGAAGGTATGTGCTAATGAAGTCAGCCAAACACAAAAGAATGAATACTGTATTGTTCTACTTATATGAAATATCTAGATTAGGTAAATTCATAGAGAAAGGAAGTAGAATAGAGTTTACGAGGGGATGGAGTGGAGAGGGTGGGAGAGAAGAAGGGGTAGTTATTGCTAAATGGTGACAACATTTCTGCTTTGGGTGATAAAATAGTTTCAGATATCAACAGTGGTGATTGCATGACGGTGTAACTGAAATTAATGCTATTGGATTGTACATTGAAAATGGTTAAAATGGAAAAGTATATACCGTATACATTTTACCACAGTTTAAAAAAAATAACGTACCAGAAACCACTGAATTGCACACATGAAATGTATGATATGTGAATGATGTCTCAGTGAAGCTGTTTAAAAGCAATCGTAGCAGGTGCCTGGCGTATACATAGTAAGTACTGAATAAATGGCAGTTGTGGTAATCGTCAGTATTTAGTGAGCATTTCAACTTGATTCTCGTTTACATTAGAGCGGTTTTTAATGGTTGAAATAAAAATGTTCATTTCAGTTTTGTCTCTAATGGGCTCTCATTAATTTTCTCATCTCTCGTTTCTGTGCCTCAGAGTTATTGATTTAGGAGTCATGACTCCATGTGATAAGATACTGAAGGCTGCTCTTGACCACAAAGCAGGTACTGTGCAGCTGCGCTTCGGGAATTCCCCTAAATGTCGCATCCCCAGGTGTCTGTCGGTGAATAGTGATGCCCCGTGAGGGATCTGGGGCACATACAGACAGTCAAGTGCCAGCTCCTACACGGGGTTGCTTTTGTCACCATCCCTAATGGAGTTGAGAGAGGTGAGTGAGTAACCATGGAACCAAGTGCTGGAGATGGGGACAGACCTTCTTATAGGAGAACGGTTGTATTAGATTTTTCTCTCTGTGTGTAGTCATTTTTGTATTTCTTCTTACACTGTGATATATTCAAGTCTGGGAAATCATGAGCTAAAGATATCTTCTGTTGCATGGCTTCCTAAAACGGTGGCAAGTAATTATTACAACCTTAAGTTGATTTCTTGTTTACTACCAAAAAAAACTATGGCAAGTAATTATTGCAACTTTAAGTTATAAATCTTATTTACTACCAGAAGCAAACAATAAATTGAAATTCCCCAGTCAGAAAAGATATCTTAGAATTAGAAATTGGGGATAGGCACAGTGCCTCATACCTGTAATCCTGGGAGGCTGAGGCAGGCAGATCATTTGAGGTCAGGAGTTTGAGACCAGCCTGGCCAACATGGTGAAACCCCAGCTCTACTAAAAATACAAAAATTAGCCAAGCTTGGTGGTGGGCACCTGTAATCCCAGCTACTCAGGAGACTGAGGCAGGAGAATTGCTTGAACCCAGGTGGCAGAGGTTGCAGTGAGCTGAGATCGTGCCACTGCACGCCAGCCTGAGCAACAAAATGAGACTCCATCTAAAAAAAAAAAAGAATTGGAATTGGGAATTCAGGTTAAGTCTTTTGGTCTTTATTATAAAAATGGATTTTCATTTTTCTCCTTTTTCTTTTATTCTCCTCACTGTCCTTTTTTTTTTTTTTTTTTTTTTTTTTTTTTAATAGATATAATTGGCCTGTCAGGACTTATCACTCCTTCCCTGGATGAAATGATTTTTGTTGCCAAGGAAATGGAGAGATTAGCTATAAAGATTCCATTGTTGATTGGAGGAGCAACCACTTCAAGGTAAGTTACACTAATGAGCTTTGTGTTCACTTCAAATTCTCTTAAATGCCAGTGTTTAAAAACAATGGTAAACCTGTTTTGTTTTGGATTTTCCCTTATGTTTAGTACATTGACTTTTTGTTATATAAACACAAAAATTTTCTGGTCTTCACTTGGGCAAGAGCCAGAATACTTACAGAGCATGCTATAGGAAACTTTTTTATAATTCCTATTCTTTGCTTTTTCTTGGATTTCTTTGGCACGCAATAATCTTTTTCTTAATGGTCTCACTTCCAATTCAGTTCCTGAGAATTCTAATGAACTCTTCTCTTGAAATCAAACTGAGTGGAGAAGCTGTGTTTTTGACACAAAGTCATTACTTGAACTTTTTCCCACTCTTATCTTGAAGCAGGTGTCTGGTTGAATAATTACAGTTTCCTTTGAAGGAAACTGTAGTAGTAGTTTGGAGGCAGAAAACCCGTCTAGCAAGAATGAACTAATGATCACTTCGTAGAGTTTCTGAAAGGGGAGCTTTTTGGGAACCTTTGGGTTAGCAGCATTAAGAGGTATAAAATGTAAAGATGAGAAAGTTCAAATTTGTTCACATGATAATTATTCAGTTTACCAGATTTTTCCTGGGATCCTGATCATAGTGAAATGTGGTAAGTGATACCCTAACTGTGGGTAGTAGACTTTTTAATGCCACCACGTTCACTTTCTCAGGAGCATTATCATGCTGGAAAATTGAACTTAATGGTCCCATAGCATCTAGTTTATTTTTCTGATGCAGAAATGCAATAAAGGTGTGGTTATAGGTATACCAGAGTTCCTTTTGCACTAGAAACAACTTTACATTAAGCCAATTTATATAGGGTGGTTCAGAGGAACAGAATCAATAGGGTATGTTTATATAGAAAGAGATTTATTTTAAAGAATTAACTCCTGTGATTGTGGAAGCTGACAAGTCTGAAATCTGCAGCCTGGAGACACAGGTAAGAGTCGATTTCTTGAGTCTAAAGACAGGCTGAAGGTAGAATTTCTTCTTCCTTGTAGGGGTGGGGAGTGGGCAAGGGACCTTAGTCTCGTCTCTTAAAGGCCTTCAACTGATTGGACAAGGTCCACCTACATTGTGGATGATAATCTGCTTTACTCTAAGTCTACTGATTAAAATGTTAATCACATCTAAAAAAAATACTTTCACAGTAACATTTAGATTGTAGTTAGCCAAAAACTGTATACCATGGCCTAGCCAAGTTTATACATGAAATTAACCATCATACTATTTAAAATTTGAATGGATTGTCTTCATAAGTAGAAACAGTATTATGTGTCTTTAGTCCATTATCTTGTTCTTCATACTTAAAGGATTCAATAGTTTGATTATCATTGCTAACATTAGAAACCAGGGTTGGTTTTTCCACAAGGACTTATGTACTAGGAAATACGGCAGAGTTGGTCTCAAGGGATATGGCCAACCATTAATAATGTGTTTTGATGATCATGGTCTTGGGTAATTGATGACAAGCTTAGTGAAGAGAATGGTAAGAGGACCTACGGACTGTTGTCAGAATGACAGACTTTTTAATATCAATTGTAAAGTAGAATAAATAAATATTTGAATGAGTATAACTAAAATACATTATGAGTTATGTAAATATGATGCTGGCTTCAAAATAAGAATGTTTTTATATGGTGGGACGCTACACTCAGAAATCTGCTACTTGTGCAAATTGGAACTGTACTTAATAGTCCATTTTATCATTTCCCATGTAAGACCTGCCAGATTAAAGAAAAAAAACATTGAGAAGAAACATGGCTATCCTCTCAAGATGCATTATTGGCAGTATTACCTTGTTAATGATTTTTAGTAGTTATAGTCTGGTATATCAGACTAGAATTGGTAAGATAGGAAATCACCAACATCTCTTCAGTTACTGCAAAGTACCTATTCTCATTGTCTGGGAGACTGTGAATGTGTTTGGCCTAAAGGTAGAAGCTGGGTCCGCTGACCTCCTAAGGTTTCTTTCAACTCTCCAGTGCTTTGCTTCTCTATGAGCTCTGCCTCTTCTGGTTCTCTTCTTGTCTATGCCTGTTTCGGTTTCTGGGAAATTGCTTGGAAAATAAGAGCTAGTAGGTAGCTCTGCTTCCGGGAACTATTCCCTTCTACACTGTGGTGCTGGAACAGCCTTTGGAAAAGGTTCTCGTGCAACCTCCAGGAACTTCAGTGTAGAATTCCCCAGTTCTGACTCCATTCTAATTAGTGACAGTGGATGAGGTCTGAGACCTGAAGTCTTGCTTTATCAAGTTCTCTTATTTAAGTGAGTGCTTTTACAGAAGTTCAGCAGTTATACAGAAAAGTACACGAATCATGTAGATGTACAACTTGACAAGTTTTTACAAAAGGGAACCCACCCATGTAACCACCTCCAGATCAAGAAATAGAACACTAATGGCACCCTAGGAACCTCACCAGGTTCCCCCACCCAGTCATCCTTTCCCACAAAAGTAACCACTGTTCTTTCTTCTGTCACCATAGGTTGGTTTTGCCTGCGTTTCAACTTTATATAAATGGAGTCATATTGTATATATTCTCCTGTGTCTTGCTTCTTTTGTCCCACGTCATGTCTTTGAGGTCCAGCTTTGTTACAATAGTTGTTTGGGTTTTTTTTTAATGTAGTATTCCATTGTATAGTATGCTGTGACTTACTTACTCTTGCTACTGTTAGTGGACATTTGGGGTTTTCCACTTTAGGGCTATCACAAACAATGCTGCTATGAACATTTACTCTTAGAAATTTTGGTGCACATGTATGTGTATTTCTGCCTGGAAGCAGAATTGCCAGACCATGTGGTATGCCTGTGATCATCCTCATTAGCTATTGCCATGGAGTTTGCCGAAGTCACTGTAGCAGTTTACACTCCCACCAGCCATTTTGAAAGTTCCAGTTACTCCACATCCTTTGCAGTTGCATCCGTTGTTATGGGTGGGTAATACCTTGCTGTCGTTTCTGTTTGCATTTCTCTGCTGATCAATGATGTCAGGCACCTTTTCATTTTTGTATGTTGACCATTTGGATATGATTTTTAAGTCTTTTTTAAAAATTGGGTATTTTGCCTTATTGTTACTGGTTTGTACACGTTCTTTATAGTATATACAAGCCCTCCTTTATCAGAAATATATATGCTGAAAAAAATAAATTTTTTTCAATCTGGCTTGCCTTTTGCTATCTTAGTGCTGTCTTTGGATAATGAAAGTTCTAAATTTATAATGTGTGATTTATCTGTCTCTTCATATATGGTTAATGCCTCTTGCATCTGAATAAGTAAATCATCTCCTAGGAGAGCCACCTTTTCTAGAAAGCATTGAGGAGTTGGAGTGTCTCAGAAGCTTATCTAAGAGCCCTTACTATTATTTCCTACAAACCAGTGGAGGACTTAGCAGTAGCTTATTAGCTCAGGATTTCCACATTTTCATGAAAACATTGCTGAGGGGAAATAAGCCTATGGCTTTCCCAGACATTGGTGACTTACAGTAGCTTGCGTAGAACTAGAACTGTACCCCCAAGACACTCAGAATGAAGGTTAAGGCTGTCAGGTGCAGGAGTGTCCAATCTTTTGGTTTCCCTGGGCCACACTGGAAGAAGAATTGTTTCAGGCCACACATAAAATACGCTAACACTAAGGATAACTAATGAACTAAAAAGAAAAATTGCAAAAGAGTCTGTCATAATGTTTCAAGAAAGTTTGCGAATTTCTGTTGGGCCGCTTTGTGTTGGGCGGCATGTTGGACAAGCTTGGTCTAGTGGATGAACCGATATTTGGAGAAATTGAAAGAGTTATATAGATTTGAGGTTAAGTATGGGTGGAAATATGCTTTGAGTGTCCTTTTTTAACCCGTAGCTATGAGATAATAGAAAATATGATATTCTTCTATCTGTAATATAGATAGTTTTGGTTTTATAAACTAGAAAAAACTTTAATGGAAATCTGGTCCTTTAGCTGCAGAACTTTTCAAGGGCCTGAGTTCTGGCAGTCATCTTTCAATTTTTAACAGATTTATAGCTGACAACTGCAAAATATCTATTTTTAAAAAATATATACTTGGAGAATTCAACAGAAAGTCACATTACTCAAAGGCAATTTTCTTAGTTAAGAAAATTAACTCAATTTTCTTACACTTAATTTTCTGGGTTTTTTTTTTTAATTGTAGGAAATAAGATACTGAGTCCTATAAATGATTTCATTTTCTTATTTGTATTGGTCACAGGGAAGCTTGGAGCTTAGATCAGTGTATAGGATTTCAGGAATGAGTTTTATATGCTAATCTCAGTCCTGATTCTATCTTAAATTGTCCCATCTCTGTTTTTCCTTCCTCTCATTTTTCTCACCAGATTTTAAGTGCTGGCCATGCTGTATTTATGTAAAAGACCATAAATTAAATCTGTAATAGTATATAATATGAAATAAATGCATAGAACATCTGTTCTTATTCATAGTATTAAAAAACATTTTCTGAGGTTAACACCATTATGCCTGTTTGACAGTTGTGGGAGGTGACTAATTAAATCCTAAGTGTCCATGAGTGACTTAGCAGAGACAGGATTTGAGATTCAGCCTCAGTTTCTAGCTTTTTACTTTTTATGTGTAGGAGGGGGAGGAGAGATTCTGCTATTTTGCATCGTTTCAGACTTCAAAAAGAAGTCTTACAGCTGGAGAAGCTTGCTTGAGTGGAAGCTTAGAAGAAAGAACGTAGAAGCAAATTATTGGAGTCAAATTATAAGGCAACCAGGAGCACTCTTAATGGCTAGGCACATTTCATGCCTCCGGTCATCTAGCTTTGTCAGTTTTTATATTGGAAAGCAGCACTTTGCTTTTGTATATTTTCTTTTTTTTTTTGAGACGGAGTTTCGCTCTTGTTACCCAGGCTGGAGTGCAATGGCGCGATCTCGGCTCACCGCAACCTCCGCCTCCTGGGTTCAGGCAATTCTCCTGCCTCAGCCTCCTGAGTAGCTGGGACTACAGGCACGCGCCACCATGCCCAGCTAATTTTTTGTATTTTTAGTAGAGACGGGGTTTCACCATGTTGACCAGGACGGTCTCGATCTCTTGACCTCGTGATCCACCGCCTCGGCCTCCCAAAGTGCTGGAGTTACAGGCTTGAGCCACCGCGCCCGGCCGCTTTTGTATATTTTCTAATAGTGGAATCCACCAGTTTCTTCTCAGTGCCCTTGTCCAGAAGACCATCAAAGAAAAAATTGGTCAGAATTGAGTGGGAATCCTTGAGTGCTTAATAAATATTAATAGTGTTGATTTTTAAATTTAAAATTGTATAGGTTCTCTTTAAGAGAAAGGTCATATAAAGGTCATCAGGCTTGAAATAATTCTTCCTTAAAGAGTGTATGTTTTACACAGAATTTGTATTGAGGCATATTTGTGTGCTCAAGGAGCTTAACATCTGAACAAGAGGAAGCTTAGTTTGAGTTGTGTTCTGTTTTGAAACTAGAAGCCATGTCTTCTCTAACTGCTTTTTCAGCTGTTTAAATATCCTCCCCTCACACAATACCCAAGATATCTTCTAATCTTTGGTCCCTGAGCACACACTAGGCATAAAACAGGAGGGTCTCAGGAGGCCATGGAGTTCATTCAGCTGCCATGGTCCAGCCCCCCTGCCACTCTATACGCAGCCTTCCCAGTCCAAAGGATGGCTCTTGACTCACTGGGATAATCCTGAATGCCGGCCTTCCAGCTCAGTTCTCGTCCTGAATGCCGGTCTTCCAGCTCAGTTCTCGTAGCTTAAGGCTTTGTAGTCCTTTGCTTCCTGTTTACGAGTGGAGATACTGTTAGGAGATGGAACAGGGGAGTGTTACTGGTCTTGTCTGGAGTTTTTAGAGCCTTCTTTGAGAAGCCTGTTAAAAACACACTCATACATATATTACACCTATTGTAGTCTCTTGGCTTTCAAAAATTACCTCAATAATCCACGTTTACTAGACCATGTCAAACAATTCAGAGGAATGTAAAGTACAATTGAGTCTCTCTCTCCCTATCTTCAGCCTCACCTCTAACCCCCATATGACCAGTGTGGACACTTGGATGTGTATCTCCCTGTGTTTTTTCTAAATATTTAGAAACTTAGATATAAGATTGGTTGGTTGTTTGGAAAAGATTGGGGGTGGTGTTTTTTTAAAAATGCAGTTGCATTAAACATGGTATTCTGCTACTTTGTTTCTTTCTCATATAATAGCATATTCTAGATAATATTCCAAGCATACATTTTTGTTGAAGGGAAGAATATGAAAGCACTTGACTTGGGGAAGGGTACTGCTGCTTCTGGGGAAGAGGAGAGAGCAGAAAAGACGGAACGCACTGTCCGTCTTGCGGGGACTGCTGCTGGCCACCCTTTGAAGTGGGATGTGGACAGTCTACCCTTCTCCTCCCTCTCCAGGATTCCAGATTTAACCACTGTTAGGGAGACTATACACATTTTCAATACATTTTCAGTTTTCACTTTAATTCGTTATGTCCCATCATGAAATGGCAGATCTATAGTCTGTCCTATTGCTATAAACATCTAGTAATCAGAGGGCAGTTTGTTTTCCACTTCAGTTAATTAGGTAGTTTTAAGAATGAAAGGGTGTTTCTTCCTAATACCAACATTTGCAAGTTTGGCAGTGGGGATTTGGGGCTGAGCCAGTCTTAAATATTAAAAATAAAAGATTTTTCTTGCTTTTGCCTCTCTGTATTATTTTGTGTTGAATTTCAGGTTTGGGGTTCCATACTGCGAGTACAAGGTGGGATTGGGGCCAAGGAGTGTTGATGTCTCCCATGAATAGGGGAACAGCTGCTAGACAGCCATGTCCTGTGTCCTCTGCCTGGTTCCCAGTTCCTTAGGGGCCCTGGCTGCTATCCCAGCCCATTTGGAGGAAGGAACTCAACTTGACCTTGATGACAACTGTGTGATTTCCTGGGACTGGTTACCTCCTTTAGGTCGTACAGGCTGCTAACGAGCTCCAGGTCATGCACAGGCTCAGTCCCTCGTTGATAGAGTGAAGGACAAGGTCTTTCTCATTTTGCCACAGACTTCTGCAGAGCCTGGGCCAGGTTTCCCATCTTAGGGTAGGGAAAAAGTCATTTGTGTTTTACAAGGGAAATTTGAAGTTCAATATTTGTAGGTAAGCAACTTGAAATCTTTCTCTAGAAAGCACTGTAGAAATATGTTATCTCTAATGGCTCTGAACAAGAGTTGTGTAGGAACTGTCAGTGCTGATGGATATGTTTTCTTTCTGACCCCTCTTTTTAGAACCCACACAGCAGTTAAAATAGCTCCAAGATACAGTGCGCCTGTAATCCATGTGCTGGACGCGTCCAAGAGTGTGGTGGTGGTAAGTGGGTGACCCCACATTGTATTACAGATGTGTTGTAAAGAGAGTAAGGGGGTAACTTAAGATCTATTCCTCTTTATTCATTTCTGCTCAATAAAGCTCAGAGAGCAGCGTCTACAGTGACTGCCTTGCTGGAAGGAGGTCCAGGTGACCATGTCCTGTACTTTCCAAGACAGTTAGAACTGAGCAGCAGACAGGCAGATGACCAGACACCAAGACACCTTTGACCTGGACACTAACCAGACAAAGATTTCACCCAGTCACAAGCATGAGTAGATATTTACTTGACTGTGTAAAAGGAATGTTGGATATTTTTATTTTTTTATTTTTTTTTGAGACGGAGTTTCGCTTTTGTTACTTACCTAGGCTGGAGTGCAATGGCGCGATCTCAGCTCACAGCTACCTCCTCCTCCTGGGTTCAGGCAATTCTCCTGCCTCAGCCTCCTGAGTAGCTGGGATTACAGGCACGCACCACCATGCCCAGCTAATTTTTTTTGTATTTTTAGTAGAGACGTGGTTTCACCATGTTGACCAGGATGGTCTCTATCTCTTGACCTCGTGATCCACCCGCCTCGGCCTCCCAAAGTGCTGGGATTACAGGCGTGAGCCACCGCGCCCGGCTGGAATGTTGGATTTTTAAATGACCTTTTTCCAGATAGAAAAACAAACTTGAAAGTGTCCTAGTTGACCCTACCCAAAGACAGAAAAACATCTGCTAGATATTTAAAACCCAGAACAATTGTTTCTGTTTCTCAGTGAACATCATAAACAATTCACCCACATGTCTTTCCCTGCTTTTCTCCTTCAGTGAGGCCTAACATTCTATCTTGTTACAGATTTCATTGTTTTTACTGAATAATGGGATATAACAGCTGGGGGCACCCAAGAGACAGTGTGGTCCAGTGGTTTCCAAATCGATTTCAGCCACAGAATCTTTGTTAAGTGATATCTTACCTGGAAATTCTACCACAATGAATTTCCAGGTAAGATATCACTTAACAGACAAGGCAGAGAACAGTCGAGCTGCCCTTTCCATTCTTCATTTCACCCCTCTTATTCATTGGAAGAGCACAGTTTGAGAACCACAGATCTAGTCCAACCTTTCTTCAGGCGAGGAAGGTTACTGAGGTGGCCTGGTGATCTGTGGGACTTTTAGTGATGTAACGCGGCCTGGACTAGGGTGGCCACATTTCCTGAGCTGTCTTCCAAAGAAATTATTTCAGATCTGTGCATTTATTTACTGAAGGTTATATAGTAATCGCTAACATTATTGAAAATGTGTAGTGTGCCAGGTACTGAGCTAAGTGTTTTACGTGGATTTTGTATTTTATGCTCAGGATAACCTCACAAGGTAGATATTTTTATTGTCCCCAGTGTAGAGATCAGGAAACAGAGGAATAAAGAGACTAATAACTCAGCTGAGAGCACACATCTGTCAAGTGGCAGGTGTGGGATTTGAATGCAGGTTATCTTACTCTATGTTAAATTAAACTTGTTTAACAATTCTCCTTTATTAAAAAGGATAAAGTTAACTCAGGCTGGGATCATAAAATTGTAATTGTTTATTTGCCACTGATGTAGACAAATATGCAAATAAGCTGCATTTTTACAACTCAACTTTAAAACAATTTTTGTTTCTTTTTCTTGGATTGTGCTCCATACGAGCTTATATCAGGGCCATGGTTGAGTGCAGTGGGCCTCTTCTTAACGCTTGGCATTATTTTCAAACTCTGATGCATAGCCCTGAACAGTTTCCATTCAGAGGCAAGACTTTTGGACCCATTTAGGTGCATAGTGCTAGACTTTCCTCTACAGGTAGACGAAAGAATCAGCCCCCTTGAGTCCATGTTTGGAGGACAAGCTCCTTCACCATCTATTTTTTTTTTTTTTTGAGATGAGTGTTGCTCTGTTGCCCAGGCTGGAGTGCAATAGTGTGATCTCTGCTCACTGCAACCTCCGCCTCCCAGTTCAAGCAATCCTCCTGCCTCAGCCTCTTGAGTAGCTGGGATTACAGGTGTATGCCACCACACCCGGCTAATTTTTTCATCATGGAGGCCAGGCTGGCCTCAAACTCCTAACATTAAGTGGTCCATCCGCTTGGGCCTCCAAGAGTGCTGGGATTACAGGCATAAGCCACTGCACCCAGCCCTCCTTCACCATCTTGAAGAGCTAGAGTAGTGGGGACCTTGCTGAGAGCCAGGTAGAGAATGAGGAACAGGTGTTGATGTTCTTTACAGTTTAGTCCAGCCACGCAGCCAGCAGCTCCAGATAGCCTCTCCATGTACAAAGAAACAGCCATGTTCTGAAAGTACTCAAACATAAGTCAGATGATAACTCATGTGAGTAACTGCTAGTGACACTTCAGCAGCCAGTGGTATAATTGGAGTTGGTTGTGGGCTCATTGGCTCAGGCTCTTTTGATCTAACGGAAATGAACATGGAACAGGATCACATTTTATGAACGGTCTTGTGTATTTGTAAAATTCCACAAATACTTAATGGTTAGAGATTTAGATCCAAGGATTCTCCCTTCCTTTCTTTTTTCTTCTTTCATAGAAAATGAGGTGCCAATATTTTATTCTTTTTAAATTATAAACTATCTTTTTAATTTATTCCCTCTTACTGTGTGGCTGTTGCCATGAAGTACAATTTTTAAAAATGAAGGAAAATATAAACTGTGATATGTCCCAGTGGTTGGCATGAAAACACATGATGGATTTGATTTTTTTTTGGTGGAAGGATTACCTAAGTTAGCCCACATATATTGACCATGAACTTGTTTCCATCAAGTAAGTCCGACTGCACAGGAAGGGGCCTGCCACTGCGGCTCTGGGAGCAGCGGGCTCCATGGGGCCATGGAAGGGGCTAGCAAACCGCATTGGTATGTTCTGTTTACCCAGTAGCACCAACATCAGGGGGTTTGTAGATTGTCTGAATGTCAAGGACATCTGGTTTTGCTTTCTCAGAGTGTATAATCTAGCAAAATGTAAGAAGTTTTAAGACATTGGTTACATGTACTACAGGGATTTCAGAGTAGGCATTCCCTTCTTGTTTCATAGGGCTGTGCTGGGTTTCCTAGACAAGGACTCCATTGAGGTGAGTTTAATGTAAGGCTAGGAAATACTCTGTGGTGTGAACACCATTTGGAAGCCTCTTTTTGGCCTGCCACGGTGGCCTTTTCTGATTGTATTCCTGAATGAGGTAATGTTGTTTCAAACTAACTCATAGATGATTGGATTGTAATTAGAGGTACTTAGAAAACCCATGTGGAGTTAATAGACTTTTAGAGCTGGTTTTAGCCATCATTCAGTCTAACTTCCTTAAGTTCAGATGAAGATGTTGAGCCTTCTTACCTTTTGTGTATTAGAGAATCCTGCTGCAGAGTGCAGGGAGGGGGCAGTGCTATGTTTATTTTTTAACCGATGTGGTCAATAGTTGCCATTTCTTCTTTCTACCTAATATCATTATGTGCTTTGATGGTTGCTATTCTTCTATCAATGTGATAATCATAGTAATGAATAATAGTTAGCTGAACCTAGTTTTATAATTTAATGAGTAGACTCACGTTTTCTCAGCTTATTGGTTTCCTTTCCAATTTTAGCAGAAACGTACAGTGGACTATAAAGATTAGCCTCATTCCCTCAGCAGACAGTGAGAATGCACCTCCAGACACTGGGCTAGGCATCAGGGGTATGAAGGTAGTTGATGTGTGATTGCAGCTCTCATAGGCCTTCCTAGTAAGGGAAGTAGATACATAAATTGATACTAAAAGGCTGTGGAAAGTAGATGAACAGAGTATCTTTGAAACATTGAGTTGGGGGTTACCGAACCCTCTGGGTGAAGGTGGGTGAAGACCACCTTCAGGTTCAAAGATTGCTAGAAGGACACAGAAAACCCAGAAACACCGTTATGCTCATGACCATGGTTTATTATTGTGAAAGGATATAGGTTAAAATCAGGGAATGCCAAAGGCACAAAGGATGGAATGCAGGCGAGACCAGGTACAAGCTTTCAGGTGTCATCTCTCTATAGAGTAATCCGGATGGTGCTTAATTCTTCCACTTGTGATATGTGACAACATGTAAGGAGCCTTGCCAACCCAGAAGCTTCCCTGAGCCTTCATGTCCTGGGTGTGGGGGTTGGTCACATAGGCCCAGCATGCCCATGTGACTGGCCTTAATTGCTCAGTCTTCAGTCCCTGCAGAGGTCAAGCAGAAGCGTGAGCTGAGGCCCCCCTCCATAAATCAGACTATTAGCCTAAACCATCTAACGTGGCCCAGGGTGCCAGGTATACAGTGACTCTCTTATCAGGCAGGCTGTCCCAAGGGTTTAGAGTTTGTCTTTCAGAAGGCAGTCAAGGACCGGTCCTTTCTTTGGCTTATGCAGTGATTGAACATCCCAAGCCCACTGAGTTTACCCTTTCCTGCACACCAGGCAGGACTTAGCACAGTTGGTGAAAGGAGAAGAAATGAAGTTAAGGAAGCCACCTTCGTGAATGAGGTGTCACCACAGTTTACCGTTAGTGCACCAATTTTATCATCTTTTGCTGATCTGTGGTTATCTTGCATTTTCAGTGTTCTCAACTGTTAGATGAAAATCTAAAGGATGAATACTTTGAGGAAATCATGGAAGAATATGAAGATATTAGACAGGACCATTATGAGTCTCTCAAGGTAAGTAGTAGAAACAGATCTTTGCTTGTTTTTAATGTGACTAGTTTTTATGATCCTCGTTTTTAATGTGACTTTTAAAAATGGTTTTGAGGAGAGTAAAAGGCTTGGGATCATTTTAGAGAATTTCTATTTTCTAGTTCAAATCAGAGGACTTCAGTGTCTGAGTTCCCAAATAATTTTTGGTTATATTAAAATGAATTTTATTTATTGAGCCAAACATTTATTGGGTACCCAGTAGATGTTAGGGACTGTGCTAGATATGAGAGCTATGATAATGAATAAAACATGAGTTCATACTCAGTAGGAAAACAGGCACTGAAACAGTATACTGCAATGACTCCCACAGATCCCCATTCTTGAGGAGGTAATGGAAGAAAATGGAGACATGAGGCAGGACCAGTGTAAGCCTCTTTCCTTGACTGCCCAGCACTGACTGTGCAGAATGATGTTTGAAGAACTGTCCCTCTCTTGATCAGCTTCAGGGAATCCATGGAGAACAGGCATAATCGTGCTTTAGAAGTCACTGAAATGTTTGTTTCTGGTTATCTGCCTTCTGGGCTTGGGTGGGAGCATTTTGGGAGTTGCTAGGCAAGTGAAGTGAGATCAACAGCATGAAGAAAACACGCTGTTTTGCTTCTGAGGTGCCAGCTAGGCCAAGGCGCAGTGGTTGGCTTTTTTTTCTCCTAAGGTTTGCCCACAGTGGACAGTGTCTTTAATTCTATGTTGTGGTCCTCAGGGTCAGCCAGGGAAGGCCAGTTAACAGCTGGCCTCAGGTGTTCTAAAAGTGCAGGTAGGACCCCTCCCTAGTACCTGTGGTTCAGGCCGCAGAACCAGGCTTGCATTCATATATCTATAGTTAATGGATGCTTCTTGAGTCTTTACTGTCTGTTGTTCTGGTGCCAATGTGAAACCGACTGGACAGAAAAGGAAGAGCTTTTTAGGATAAGGATTCTCATAAATAAAAGCATTTGCTTTCTTGCAAAGCTTACATACTGGCCTTCTTGGACATGTTTTCACAATAACTGTGGAAAAGCTAAAGTCTCTAATTTTTCTTTGTTTTTTAACAGGACAGGAGATACTTACCCTTAAATCAAGCCAGAAAAAGTGGTTTCCGAATGGACTGGCTGTCTGAACCTCACCCAGGTCTGTTTGGCTATGGAGTAGGGAAAGACTGGATGTGGTAATTCTAGTGTGCTGAGGAGATATGTGCATTTACTTGGCTTTAAAATCAGATCAGCTAACAACTCTCAGCTGTGTCTGATGATGATGGGCGACTGATGTCTGGCAAGAACGGGAGGAGATACTGTTTATGGAGCAGGCGCTGTGTGCCAGACACTGTCCTGGATGGACTCCAGACAACTCCGTAATGGACATGGGAATTATCCCCATTTTAATCTGAAGAAACTGAGTTTTGGGTAGAAACTTGAAAGGTTACCAGGAATCTCTCTGGAATTTGTCTTCTAAAGCCACGCTCTTTCCTCTGTGCCATGCTTGAGTGGGCTTCCATCTCCTTTAAGGAAGTTCTGTGGAAACCTGCCTGGGTGGTACTGTCACCTGAGGTGGCCTGAGTCTCTGACAGGCCCAACGGCAGATGTGAAATGTCTAAAATGGGAAGCGCCTTTGCATTCACACATCTTTAAAACACTGCAGCAAAGCAGGCTCCTCTGTTTCTTGCTTTCTCTCTTGTCTTCTCTCTCGATGTTTCTATTTCTTTCATTTGGTTTCTTTCTTTTTTAAATTTCTAGCTATCTTTCTTGCCTCACATAGGTATTCACAAAGGAATAAAATGTGTAAGATGTTTTGACAGGCGCAGAGAGGCATGAGAAACAAATGCAAAACCAAGACAGAGTGAACAGGGGTTATATTAATTGAATCCATATTTCCAAGGTAATGTCTCAAATCAGCTTTCATTGCTCACGACATCTGTGTTCTACACATGCTTGGCAGAGCTGAGAGGATTAAATTGGAAATGTAGGTGTGCTTGGTTCTAATTTCATCCCTGCTGAGTTCAGCGTGGTTTAGTGGAAAGAGTGCCATATTGGGAGCCGGGAGGCCGGGGTTCTCATCCCAACGTGGCTCCTGGCTCTGACTCACTGAGTGACCTTGAGCAGCTTGCTTCCACGTTTGACAGTTTTTACCATGTAAAAAAAAGGAGGCACTTCTTGGAAATGTTGTGAGGGTAAAATAGTACTTGAAAACCTTTGAAAAAATATAAGTTGCTATATAGTTCAAACCATGATTATTTGCTCTGTCTTTCCCTGTGAAATTGGAATAATAACACAAACACAAGGGCAAGTCTGTTTGGATCCAATCAGACATCCAAAACATACTTTGCTGGAAATAGGCCTCCAAAGACCCACAGGACCTGGCAGCGGTTGGGACGGTTTTTGAGTGGCCGCTTTAACCTCTGGCACGGGGCTACTGCGGGGCCTGTCCTGCTGCCTGAGGGCCATGGGGCCCTAAGGCCTGGCCCTCTGAAATATACCTGAGGACAGCCAGTCCTAAGATAATTGCAGGAAGTCAAAAGGGGGGTAAAGGAGGGTCTTCGTTTAAGGGCCTGATGGTAAAACCTCAAACATTCTTTAAACTCTGGGAGACGAGCTTGGTCAAGAGAGAGTCCCTCAGTGGCTCTGCAGCAGCGCATGCTCTCTGCCTTTCCAGGAGAGAGCACACTTGAATCAAGGGTCTATCTGTAGATTACTTTTAGTGTCTCTACTAAGGGGACTGTAAAGACTTTTGTACCAACAAACCAACATAATAGGATATTTCCAAAGAGGAGATTGTCCCGTGTAGTAGAAGGATGATGAGGAAGAAATGGGAAAGGGCTACTGTGAACAAGTATGAAAAGATGGAGATTTCCAGGCAGAGTAAGAAGCTACTCATACTTTTCCTGTGCTCTCACCTCCCATTTTTACCATCAAATGAGAGAAAAATACTCTAGAAGCTTCTGTGTTCTCCCAGAGCCCCTGAGATGGTAGAATAGGAAGTTCTCTGGTGCCTGGTTACAAATCAGGAAGCAGAGAGACAGGAAGGCTCAGATATGGCAGTGGGGCCAACACCTTAGACTCCAGCCTGACCCTGCCACGTCAGACCAAGTCTTAGGTGCGGACCGCACTACAGGCAGGAGGGCAGCAACAGTGCTGCTCTGCCTGCCCCAGAGAGTCTGGCAGCACCATCTGTCTCTGAAGTCTTCACCATTATTTAAATTATGATAGATTTTAGACTCACCAGGAGTTATAAAAACGATGTATTACATCCCTGCATACCCACTAGCCAGCTTAAGACATAACCTACCACCTGATTTTTAAAAAACAAAACAAAGGAGTCAACAGAGGTTAGATTAATTGAATCCATATTTCCAAGGTACTATCTCACGTCAGCTTTCATTGACCACATCTGTGTTGCACCTGTGCTCAGAGTTGAGGATTGTGTGTTGAGGAATATGTATCAGAGGTCCCACGGGTGTCCCTTCCTCCCCTGCAGAAATCACTGCAGTCCTGAATTTGGGACTTCATTTTCCTGTACTTTGGGTGTTTGTATCAGTAGACAATATAGATTGTTGTTTCTGGTCTTGAAAGTTGAGACAAGTAGCTTGCCTCTATGCTTTTCTGCAGTGTTCATCGTGTTCACCTTGTCTTCATTTTGCACAAGTGAGGATTAACCTGTCTGTCTTTCCTTCTTGGGCCGGGGGGTAGGGATAGAAGAGTTGAGGGAACAGTTTCCTAGGGTGGTGTAGTCAGTCAGCGGCATGTGAAGAATAGTTTTATTTAAGACTCAGTGCGGAATTACTCCTTCTCCACGATAATTTAAAACTCCCCTCTTTGTAAAACAACTCCTACGGGTGACAGGAGGGAGGCAGAGTGTGGGGGCTGGTGGAGCATTGAGGAGCTAGCAGGGAGCACTAAGGAGCTGGTGGGGAGGCCTCCGTCAGGTGGGGTGCCGGCATCAGCATTGACAACCATACTTCTTTCCTCTAGTGAAGCCCACCTTTATTGGAACCCAGGTCTTTGAAGACTATGACCTGCAGAGGCTGGTGGACTACATTGACTGGAAGCCTTTCTTTGATGTCTGGCAGCTCCGGGGCAAGTACCCGAATCGAGGCTTTCCCAAGATATTTAACGACAAAACAGTAGGTCAGTGCAGTAAGTCCTTCCTTTCGGCCTCTGATATTCAAGATGTAGGATTGTGACTTTGAAGACAGGAATTGGTGAGGAGCAGTGAGTTTGGATTGCACAGATAATAGCTGCTTTCGTATTGCTCACCTGCCCAACTTTTTAATGGGTTTCAAACTGCTAGATTGGTCCTTATTATATCAACTAAATTTGTTATCTAATTATTCTTTTAATAAATGTTTAGTGACATCAGTTACATGCTGGGCACTAGGGATAAATGGAAGATGATATAATCTCTGCTGTCTAGCACAGCCAATAGTAATGGGCCCTGCCTGGGCTCCTGTGGGCATAAGAAGAGAAGATATAGCTCAGACTGAGAGGTCAGGGCAGGCTTCCTGGAAGAGGTAGCATTTGAACTATTTTTGAGGATTCAGTGGGAGTTGCTGTGGTGGGACTAGAGATGTGATATGGTGTTGAAGAAAAGGACATTGCAGGTACAGGAGACAGAATGAGAAGGCACAGGCATATGTGCCTAATTGGGGAACTGCAGGGAGTCCATTTTGCTTGGAGCATTGGGGAGGGAATGGGGATTTGGGTTGATAAACCAGAGAAGTAGGTAAGGTGATAAATTACTACCCCCCACTTCTCATTTCAAGCCTCACCCCAAAACCCACCCACAGAGACCGGAATCCAAATCCAAAGCCATTCATAGGATCAGGTAGTAGCCAGATCAGAGCAAAAAGGAGGGGTGGACCCACAGAAGCATGAGATCAGGGCTGAGAGGAGCCTGAGAAACCAGCCTCTTGCCAAGTTTCCCGGAAGCGGAGTCTGGGTGTGCATGTTAGGATGCTGAGACTCAGGAGCTCTCAGGTAGCCAGGAGCATGGTGGTGGGCAAGGGGCTTCTCATTGCACTGCCCCTCAGTCATCACAGGTGAGCTGTCCAGGGGCTGTAGGACAGGCTGCTTACCGTGGACAGGGCGGCCCAGTCTCACAGACCCAGAAACCAAGAGGGTGTCCTGGGAACCTGGCCCCCACTGCAGGTCCCGGAGCAGGCCAGCCAGGTGTAGCACTGAAGCTAGTATGAGGATTTGGGTCACACTTCATTCCTTACCACTGACGTTCCTTGTGCACATACAGTTCCACTGACTTCACAGTGACTTTGGGGGACCTGACCTGTGCCTTGTGTTCACTGTACCTTGTATTCTGTGGTGTCGGAGCCTGAGTGCATAGGGTAAGGATGTACTGAGCCTGAGTGCGTCTGGTAAGGATGCAGCTCTCCTCTCTTCACGGTACTCTTTAAGGCCCTAAATTTAAGAATCCCTTCAGATGTTGTTATGGTCAAACTATCAGTCGTTATGAATTGTACTGTGATTGGGATTTAAAGCACCACAGAATACAAGGCACAGGTCATGTCTCCCAAAGTCACTGTGAAGTCAGTGGAATTGTACGTGTGCAAGGAACGTCAGCAAGTAAGGAATCTGGCCTGCTTTTTCTCGTCCTCTCTGACAGAATGCTTTGGGGAGCCACAGCTTTGGCTCTGTGCCTTTTGTCCAATGGAAAATTGAAGTGGCTTGAACTGGGAGAAGCACACTGTGGGAGCTGCACTTAGCAGGAACCGCAAAATCCTGGCTGTTCTACTTTAAGCTGGGTCAGTGGCAAACAACAGAAAGCATTTGAGGAAAATAGAGAAGGGTGAGGAGGGAAGGTGACTGAGCAGGGGTAATGGTTTTTAAAGGAAGCATTGTTTGATGCGCTTTAAGTGAGTTGTTACTATGTTTTTCTAATAGGTGAAGAGGCCAAAAAGGTCTACGATGATGCCCAAAATATGCTGAACTCACTGATTAGTCAAAAGAAACTCCAAGCCAGGGGAGTGGTTGGGTTCTGGCCAGCACAGAGTGTCCAAGACGACATTCACCTGTATGCAGAGGGTGCCGTGCCCCAGGCTGCAGAGCCCATAGCCACCTTCTATGGGTTAAGACAACAGGTATGGAAGGGCTTGACAGCCAGCACACTGCTCTCACTTGGGAGTTTAAGCGCTAAGCTGAAGAGCTTTGCATAAATGAGAGTCTGCTCCACCTCCTCCCAAGTGACCAATCACTCACCCAAGCCCAAGGCATCTGTGAGGATGGTGGAGAGAAGGTGCCCACATGGGTGTCAGCGGCAGGGCCACTCTGCAGGAGTGAGGCATGTCATGTTGTGTGTCACGAATGGATGAGAACCACTGCTGCTGTCTCAGGTGGTCACATGTCCGTCTTTGCAGCTTCTGAAGGAAGAGAACACTCACTTGGGCAAAAATGCTGGTTAACCTCTATGCACATTATTAAAATAGACTGTGGCTCCCCATGAAAGGGGAAGACAGGTGGAAACCAACATTTGCAGAATGTAGTCCTTGCCAAGAGCTGAGCAAGGCCTATGAGTGCATAGTGAGATGCTGGATGGGTCATCCTTTTAATTTCCACACAGCCGTGTCAGGCAGTTGAAGTTTCTGTTTTACAGAGAAAATGAAGGCTGGTAGAGATTGTGATTGTGCTGGGCCCCCCCACTGTAGAAGGGAGAGCCAGCCTATGCACACCCCCAATGGCTGTTCTTTCACTGTGCTGGCTGCTTTTCTTTAGAATGGTGAGAACAGACTCTTTTCAGCAACTTCTTTGTCATTGCCCCACCTTTGAAAAGGCAGATATCCTATACATGTCCCTTTAGGTGCTGTAGAAAAGGGTGTCTTAATCAAGAATTGGAACCAGAATTATTCTTTCTGTATTATTGCCATTTTCAGTCATTCAAAAATGGTAGTGTTGGCTAGGTACAGTGGCTGACACCTGTAATCCCAGCACTTTGAGAAGCCGAGGTGGGAAGATTGCTTGAGCCCAGGAGTTTGAGACCAGCCTGGGCAAGATGGCAAGACCCTGCCTCTACAAAAAAAGAAAATTAAAAATTAGCAGTATATTGGGGAGTGCAAACCTGTATGCCTGTATTCCCAACTACTTGGGAAGATGAGGTGGGAGGATCACTTGAACCCAGGAGTTCAAGGCTGCAGTAAGCCATGATCATGCTACTGTACTCCAACCTGGGCAACAGAGCCAGACCCTGTCTCTGAAAAATAAGCAAACAAAAAAGACAGTGGTGCTTTTGAATTCCAACCACAATATAATTCATAATGAACGATATTTTGACCATAACAGCATCTGAAGGGATTCTTAAATTTGGGGCCTTAACCAGTACCATGAAGAGTTAAAGCTACATCCTTACCATATGCACTCAGGCTCAGTAAATCCCTACTGCGTGCACCCAGGCTCAGTCACCACAGAATACAAGGCACTGGGGTTCTAATGTTAATTTCTAGCCCCTCTTCACAAGGGAATTTGTGGCTTTTCTTTTACAAACATAACTATTCAAAAACCTGTGCTCTGCTCTAGCCCAGTCTTTCATCTTTCAAGTCCTGTGTCCTCTGTGATCTCTTTTTGCTTCCAGTACTATTCATGTCCAAGCAGTCTGTGACATATTAGGGCATTTAATCAAATGAATTCTCAGAGTTCACCTTTTTAATAGCCTCTGGAGAGGGGAACTGGGCCAGGCACATACATTACCTACCCAGGTGGCGATTTCTCAGGAAGGGCTTTCTTCCAGTGCACTCTGGAACATTCCACAGCAGTGCCTTATTACTCTGGGAGTCTGCTCTTCTGAGTAGGCTCTGATTGCTGTCTCTTCTAAGGTACCATGGGGCTCTGTGATCTGTCTCTCCTGTGATGCAGGGAAGCTTTGGGTCCCCCTCTGGCTTTTGTTAGCAAAGAATAATTGATGGGCCGCGTATACCTGGAAAACGACTTCCCCACGCACAGCTGTCCCTGAGCTCTGTGACATTCCTGTGTGCCATTACCAAACACCTCCTCGCCTGCACGTAACGATTTCCTGCCCTTTGTCAGGAAAGGGTAGGCTGCGCTTGCTTCCCTGGCTGGCAGAGAGCTGTGCCATGTCTGGGTTGGCCACTATTAACTGCTTGGTCCCCAGCAGGACTACATATATAGGAGCATGGGTTGTGGTATCAGCCCCCCGGCCCTCCCACTGTCTGACCTCAAGCTTCCTATGCCCCTGATTTCTTGTCTGTAAAATGGAACTGGTGATATCACTTATGTCACGAGGTGGTTGAGAGGGTTAAATTAGCAATTCATATAAAGCACCAAGAACAGGCACAGAGTAACTACTAAAGAAGTATTGGTTATAAGCTATTTACCTTCTCAGCAAATATTTATTGATTTTTAAAATACGTATAAGACCTTATTTATTAATTGAGTTGCAGGGAAGAGTTGCTCATCAGCTGAGGGTGAAAAATTGAGGAGGATAGGCCCCGGGGCTGTGGAGAGAATCCAGAAGCAAATCCTGCTGAATTCTTGGTTTGGTTCCCAGCTGTCCCTGGGTGTCCTCAGCTGGCTCCTATATGACCCTCCCACCCCCGCCGCCACCACCACCCCACATGGCAGGCAGCACGTGCCCTGGGCATTGCTGATCCCAACTGTTTGTTGTTTGGGCTGCTTCTGTTGATGCTATGGAGGCTTTTCCATTTATTGGATCTCTTTCTAACATGGTGCTGGACTTAATTGAAAACACTTGAGGACAAACTTTTTTTTTTTAAAAGCCAGTGATTTCAGCACAGTGCCCAAAGGCATTCATTAAATGTTTGGTCAGTGTGTGAATGAGTGAGTGAACTGGTGTCTTGACTATTTATGTTATATCATGTCATATGATTTTTAAAAATCTCATTTGTTTATCTAACAAATATTTATTGAATACTCACTATGTGTCAGACACAATTCCAAGTGCTAAGGATGTAACAGTGGACAGGACAGGCTGCCATCTGGGTGTTGTGAAGCTTATTTTCATTTGAAGATGCCTGATCACGCTCCACGGTGTGCTGGTGCTGTGTTCTTGCTAACGGCACCTCCGCGTACTGCTTGGTTTTAAGGCCGAGAAGGACTCTGCCAGCACAGAGCCCTACTACTGCCTCTCGGACTTCATCGCTCCTTTGCATTCCGGCATCCGTGACTACCTGGGCCTGTTTGCCGTTGCCTGCTTTGGGGTGGAAGAGCTGAGCAAGGCCTATGAGGATGACGGTGACGACTACAGCAGCATCATGGTCAAGGCGCTGGGGGACCGGCTGGCAGAGGTAAGGCAGAGGCATCGCGCCAAGGGGCTGAGAACAGAGGCCGGGAACCTGGGTAGGTGCCTGAACACTGATCAGGGTCTTTTTTTTTCTTGAGTTGGATGCTGCTGGCTTTAACATTGCACATATTTTAAAATTATATATCCCCAGATTGCCTGTGTACGTTATCTTTAGGGCAGAGAAAAACCTTCGGTGGTACCATAGTTGGCTGTTGCTCTTAGAGCCTTTACCTCTGCCTTATCTCTGTTGTCTCCCTTTGGTTATTATGATATGACACTTTTCTCAGGACCCTAAAAAATTGAAAACAAATTTTTATTTCAGAGCTCCTCATTGTAATGTTGGTGTCATCTATAGATTGTTCATCTTCCTATGCATGGAATGGGGTGGCCTTGGCCCTGGGAGAGCCTCCCCCCTTTCCTGCAGTGAGCAGCGGTGGGGCTCGCAGCTAGATGGTCCCAGCTGCTCTTTCTGGCCAGTGTAGCTTTGGATTAACCTTTAGGGAAATTGCTAAGTTTTAAGGTTTAAAATCCTCAGGTCATTAAGCATGATGCTTCAGAATTCATGTTAAGGCCACAATGAGCTGCAGAGCAGCTAATGAAAGTACAAATCAATCAAGAATCCAGCCTGTTCCCTCTTGCCAAATCTTTCCTGGCTGTGGTCCAGAAGAGGGAGGCTATCCTCATGGCTGTGATTCAGGGGGTGGAGGCTGCACTGATGCCGTGAGCCCCCACTTCTGCCTAAGCACACCCTGTGCTCTGGGTCCGAAGGCCTTTGCAGAAGAGCTGCATGAAAGGGTGCGCCGAGAACTGTGGGCCTACTGTGGCAGCGAGCAGCTGGACGTCGCAGACCTGCGCAGGCTGAGGTATGAGGGCATCCGCCCAGCTCCCGGCTACCCCAGCCAGCCTGACCACACCGAGAAGCTCACCATGTGGAGACTTGCGGACATCGAGCAATCTACGGGTATGAGCCAGGAAGCCGCAGGTTCCTGTCTTCCTTCTTCAGTGCATAGACTCTTAGCAACATAACGGCACATATGGTTAAATGTGTTTTTAAAGTGGAAGGGCTTCCAATCACATTGTCCCTTATCCTGTCCTTTTTCACTTCTACCTATTCTGGCATTTTACTTCAGCATTAGTATTTTTACATCATCATTTTTAGATTTATCCATTTAAATGATTTCATCTTGACCTACACTAGATGGGAGTTTAGCTTGCTTATACCATCCCACACCTCTCGTGCCCAAGTTTCCTGTCACAGGCATGCTAATGTCTTTAATCCCTCCCTTAGTGACCAACCTTTGTCCCTTAGTAATGTCACGTGCCTTATCCTCTTGTCCCCTTGCTTGTGGATGGTGTCCCTGGGTGCTGGTCTTGCAGAGCGTCCAGCCTTCCCTTCAGCCCTCTTTTCTCTTTTACACTGTTATTAACATTTGTGTGCTTCTGTAATCCTAATTCTCTATTATGTTTTCTTGTGGATTCTAATAGCTGAACATGAGAAGCTGGCAGGTGCCCTTCTGAGACAAAGGCCCAGACACCTGGCCTCAGCGTCCTGTGCCCAGAGCTGAATTGCTCATGGTTCTGTGGCTGCACATTGTCACATCAATATCCTGGTTCTAGTCATTACTTTAGAGCTCATGTAGTTGAGATGGCCCAGTCTAAGCTCACAGTTTTCAGTGTAATTAATAAAAAGCATGCCATCAAAGCTGATAAAGTTAGACATCTAGATTTAAGGGAGAAACCATGAGCTGTGTTGAATCTGCTTCAGCAGGAACAACACTAACTCTAGAAGTCATGACATCTGGGTTCGGGTCCTGTTTCTGCCAAGCTGGCTGAGTGACCTCTGGCAGAGCATTCACCCTTCATGCTGCTCTGTTTCCTTGTCCATAAAACGAGTAGCTTCGAATAGATATCCTTGAGGGTCCCTTTGAATTCTCAGATCCCAAGGAAAACTGTGTCTTCTTTTTCACAATGATGTGGGCTCATTCTTCATGGAGCTCTCAGTCGTCCCTAGTATTAGTGGCCCCACAGAACCTATGGAGAGCTGTTCGGTTGGTGTTCTCATCTCCAGGGTTAGAGCTCCTGTCTGGCAAGGTCTAGGCTTAGGAGCAAATCAGAGCGCCTGCAGTTGATCTCAGATGGCTGGAGGTAGGAGTGTGGAGTCTTTCCCAGGCCTGTCCACCCTGGGTTACAGTGCCCAGCCTTAGCGGAGATCTGCATGTCCTGAATTTGTTTATTCACTGGCAGGAATTTGAGAGTTATCTGATCGCAGCTTTCATGCTGTGTCATGTGTCTACCTATAAAGCATGAGTTCACTTATTCAACAAGAGTTCATTGTCTGCTAGGCACTGAGTAAGCATTTTCCCCGTGTTACTCTCTCCAGGCATTAGGTTAACAGAATCATTAGCAATGGCACCTGCTGCAGCAGTCTCAGGCCTCTACTTCTCCAATTTGAAGTCCAAATATTTTGCTGTGGGGAAGATATCCAAGGATCAGGTAAGCTAGCTGTTTCATTTTATGTGGCTTCCCTAGATACCTACCTTATTTGAAATGGAATTCTAGAATCTATTTCATTTTAAATATGAATGAGAATAAAGTAAGGAGAAAGCATGAAGAAATTTTCTTTAGTTAATGTCTTAATTTGATTTCAACAGAATACCTCTATCCTTGCCCTCACTTCTACATGCAAACCACACACACACACACACACACACACACACACACACACAGAGAGAGAGAACTTCTAAGTATCAGATGTTTATACATGTTGGTTTTCTGCCTAGTGAATAAGGCAACTTGGTAGACAGATAAATATCTATTTCCATTTAACTCAGTAGATTGCTATTAAGACAAGAAATGGAAGGTTCTTAATGTTTCTTGGCAAATGTTGCAGAAACTTCTATTCCAAAGTCTTATCATGTTGGTTTAATAAAATGCTTCTCATCTTTTGCAGGTTGAGGATTATGCTTTGAGGAAGAATATGTCTGTGGCCGAGATTGAGAAATGGCTCGGACCCATTCTGGGATATGATACAGACTAACTTTTTTCTTTTTCTTTTTCTTTTTTTTTTTTTTTTGCCTTTTTTATTCTTGATGCTCCTCAAGGAAATACAACCTAAAGTGCCTTAAAAATAACAACAGAAAGCTGTGTGCATCTGGCTGACACTGCCTCTTAGAAGAAAAGCCTGAAACTCAGTTAAATGGGAAGTGTGATCCTGTGGCAAGATGATAGTGTGAGAAATGGGGCATTTTAATCTAAGCAGTTACAACGCTGGATTCTGACGGGGAAGGAAGCGTAGCTCTGCTCTCTTCGGAGGACCTCATTTTCTAAAGGCTGGATTAAATGGCTGCAGAACTCCCTTTGGCAGAAGCCATGTTCTCGCCGCTTGCTTGTCAGAAACACTCAAGCCGTTTGCCCCAGTGTGCTCAAGCGGTCCTGCTCTCTGGGCACTTTCGTCCTCCCATAATTTCACATTTCGATGCCCCTGAGGAAACAAAAAGGAAAGGGGGAGAGAAAGTTTCTGTTAGGAGTGGTTAACGTCTTTTAATTGTTTTCAGGATTAAGCAGGTTCTCAGCTGATATCCTGTGTAGAGTTGGCAGGCGGGCAGCCTAATGTCAGTCATTTCTTACCATCTTATTCCCCTTCAATTCTCAATATATTCAATAATGAAGAATGTTGCTGCCACTCAAGCAGCAAGCCTCAAACTCACCCATGTCTTCTTTTTCTTGGATGATTGCAGTTGTCTCAAAAATGTGCATGCAATTATATACTCATCCTACTTTAGTTAAGATGGTGGTGGAAATATTCAGGAGAAGGTCGCATTGAGTCCTGATTGGAGATTTGAAGGATGAAGACCAAGAAGCAAGGGAGGAACAAATGAAGAACTGTCTTTGCTCATGAATAGGAATAGTAAAGATTATAAAGGTATCAGATCTCCCCAAATGGATTTATGGATTTAATACCATTTTCAGTGTAAATTTCAACCGAGATTTTATTGAATGAAACAAGCAGGTGTTTAAATTTATATGGAATGGCAAAGGACTTAAAATTACCAAATGCTTCTAAATATGAAGGAGAGGTTGAGGAGACACACCCTATATGATACAATTGTTTGTTTTTGGTTTTTTGAGACAGAGCTTCGCTCTTTTCACCCAGGCTGGAGTGCAATGGCGCAGTCTTGGCTCAATGCAGCCTCTGCCTCCTGGGTTCAGGCAGTCTCCAGCCTTAGCCTCCCGAGTAGCTGGGATTACAGGTGCACACCACCACGCCTGGTTAATGTGGTGGAGAGGTAGGCATTATGAGCAGGGAAACAAAATAAGGGCCTAGAAACTCACCCATGCATATATTGACCTTTGTGAAATGACCTGGTGGCAGGGAGGTCAATGGGGACAGGAAGGACCACTCCCTAAGTACAGAACAGTGGCTATTGATGTGGGGAAAAAAAATTTGAATTCCTCTCACCCTACCCAATGATAAGTTCCAAATATGTTAAGGGCTTCACTACCGAAAGCAAAAATTGTCACTGTTTGGATGAAAATGGCTTTGTGCAGGAAAGAATCTCTTGAGACATAAAGTAGTTATCATAAATGATAAGATGGTTAAGTCAACTCTGTTAAAACTAAAGGCTTATATTAATAACACTTTAATGCGGTGGCTCATGCCTGTAATCCCAGCACTTTGGGAGGCCGAGGAGGGTGGATCACGAGGACAAGAGATTGAGACCATCCTGGTCAACGTGGTGAAACTCTGTCTCTACTAAAAATACAAAAAAATTAGCTGGGCATGGTGGTGCGTGCCTGTAATCCCAGCTACTCAGGAGGCTGAGGCAGGAGAATTGCCTGAACCCAGGAGGCGGAGGTTGCAGTGAGCTGAGATTGCCCCGTTGCACTCCAGCCTGGGTAACAAGAGCGAAACTCCGTCACAATTAAAAAAAGAAAACACTTTAAGTGAGAAGATGAGCCACAACTTGAGAAGACATTTATAATACGAATAACTGACAAAGGATTCATAATCACAAATATAGAGAATTCCTGTTTAAAAAAAACTCAATAGAAAAATAGAGAAGACTTGAAAAGGCATTTCACACAAGAGGAAATATATAGGGCTTTTAAATAAATAGAAAGATGTTCTGTAGCATTGCTGACCAGAGAAATATGAATTCGGACCACAATGAGGTTCCGTTTTATATCCATAAGATTTGCAAAAGCTGGGTCTCAGTACCAGGTGTTAGATCTATAGGGACTTGAGGATGTGTGAACAGGTACCACTGCTTTAAAAACAACGGTTATACCTCACAGACTTGAACATTTGCAGACCTTATGATCTTGCTTCCAGCTCTCACTTGCATGTGGCAACTAGGAGGAATGTGTAAGAATGTTCATAGTCACGTATTTATAATCATAACTGGAAAAGGTGAAATGTATGTCTGTCTGCAGGAGAATAGGTGAATAATTAGATATGTGTATTCACCCTACCGGATATTATTCAGCAGTGAAAATGAGTGAACTACAGCTATACCTCATAATAAGAATGAATCTCAGAAAATATTAAGGAAAAGAAGCTCAAAACCAAAGAATATGTAGTCTGAGCATACATATATCATAAAACTGTACCGTAAAAACAAAACAAGGTAACAATAATAAACCAAAATTAGGATAGTCATTACCACGGAAGGAGGAAATGGAAGGGACAAGAGCACACAGGTAGATGACGAGTTATGCAGCTCTTCTGGTTCCTGGCTGGGAGGCTTATGAGTGTTTACTATATGCTATTAATATATTATGCCTTATAGCTAATATATAACAGAGCTTTATACATATTAAATACGTTCTACTTAATATTGTATTAAATACATTATTAAAAAATAAAAGCAGAGTGGAATGATCATCTAAAATCTGGTATGGTGATTTTGTCAGTAGTGTTTGTATATGTCAAATACAGTTTTTAAGGAAAGGAAGAACATCTTAGAGTAAACAGCAGCTAGAAAGGACAGGGGCGGGAGGGTGGTGCCTCTGTGCCGCTGCCAGCAGTTGCCCAGATACCAGTCTTTGAGGAATGAGTGGGTGACTAAGACAGAGGCCAGAGGATGGGAGAAAGGATGAGTTTTGGAAAGATTCGATGTGACCAGACTGAGTATGGGCAGTTGGATACTAGACTTTGAAATGTGAAAAGAATGTCGAGTTAGAGTTGAGAGACTTCAGTGTGGAGATGGAGGTCAGCCTACAGTGCAGTACGATCATCTATGGAGCATATGAAGAGAAGAGAATCTGGAGAAGGAGGCAGGGAGGCAGCAGAGGAGCAGCTGTGGGTTGGAGGAAGCCAGGAGGGAGAGTGAAGTGCCAGGGAAAGCAAGGAAGAGAGTTTGAAGGCATGTCAGCAGAATCCAGTGCTGCAAAGGTCTGGGAATGGGATTGCTGAGGGCCCTTTCCACAGCGAACCCCTCAAGAGCAGCTTCAGGGGATCATGGGGCCTGTTCGCAGACTCAGCCAATTGCCAGGTTGAAGATTGAATGGGAGGTGTGGAAGATTTGTTGGCTCATTTAAAGAAGATTGGAGGGAAAGGTAGGATTGACAGTGTTTCAGACAGAAAAAGGATTATATGCTGAGGATAAAGCACAGGTACAGAGGGTTGCAGTTAGTGCAGAGATCTTTTAAAAAATCATTTTAACCCAACTTCCAGGGAGATGGCATTTCTTCTGCCAGTCAATAATACCATCAAGCTGGGAGTTGGCCCTGACCCCTCCAGTCTTAGCTCCTGCTGCTGTAACAGAATAACACACCAGGTGGCTTATAAAGAACAGACATTTCTTTCTTACAGTTCAGGAGGCTGGAAGTTCAAGATCACGGTGCCATCATGGCTGGGTTCTGGGGAGGGTCCTCTTCTGGGATGCAGTGGCCAACTTTTCATTTTCTCATGGTGAAGGGTAAGCTTGCTTTGTGGCCTCTTATAAGGGCACTAATCCCATTCATGAGGCCTCCACCTTCATGACCTAATTGCCTCCCAAAGATGCCCTTCAAATAGCATCTTCCTGGGAATTCCATTTCGACATGAATTGTGGGGGATACATTCAGACCGTAACACCTCTTTTTCTCAACCTTCACATCCACTTGGCTCCCAAGCCCTGGTGGTTTTACACACTAGATAGGTCTTAAGTTCATCTCTATGCCTGCCATGGTTTAGGTTCTCATCATTCCTCCGGATTTGTCTGCAACACAGGCTGCCTGGTTGGTTCCGCACCTCCTAGAGCTGTAAGAGAGGGCTCTCTGATTCTTTACACCCCTGCCTCAATCCTCTGTTGCCTGAATTACCATCTCCTCATCACCTAGGGCATATCCCAGCTCCTTAGAGGCATGGAAAGCCTTCCATGTCTGACCCTGTCTCATACCTCAGACCCCTAGACCGCTGCTGTACCCCAAGGAGGTTATCTGCTCATTGGCCCCACTGTCTGGAGTAACCCCAACCCAATTCCACCCAATTTGGGAAAGCTTTCCAACCCCTTCCCTCCACCACCTCAAAGCTAAGTGAAGTGACCCTTCTTGCCTCCGTAACACCACCATGCACATTTCATACAGCCCTTGCTGAAACATAATCTAGTTCCCTGTTAGACTTAATGTTCCCTAAAGGCAGGTTTGAACCTTATTCATCTTTCTACATGTGGTGTCTAGAATAGTGCTTGCTTTATGATAGGCGCTCAGTAAAAGTTGTCTTGAATGAGTTGAGCAGATCCTCTAGGGATAGGAGTTGGGGAGCAGACTGCAAAGCCTCATAAGGGCAGGGCCATGCCTCTCTTCCTGAGCTTGGAATCTCCAGAGCCTAGTTCAGTGCCTGCCATGAAATTGTTCACTTCAATTGAGTGTTGGATGAGTCGGGGGCAGGGGGACCATGATGGTTTTCTTTCTCTCAGAAAGAAACCAGAGACTCAAAGCCCCGGCACCCTTCCTACAGCCACCTTCAGGATTTCATGTTAGAAGTGGCCCAAGTGATATTTTCTTTACTGTCCTATGAAGACAGCATATTGGCAACCCTGCAAAAGCAAAGAACCCCTCAATTCATGGCTTACTTACTTGCTACAAATGAGCTTGTGTTTCTTTCCATATAAGGAAATATCTGCTAGTATATGCATTAACACATCAAGAAGAGGCCAGATAGGATGGCTCACATCTGTAATCCCAGCACTTTGGGAGCCCAAGGCAGGCGAATCACGAGATCAAGAGATCAAGACCATCCTGGCCAACATGGTGAAACTTCGTCCCTACTAAAAGTAAAAACAATTAGCTGGGTGTGGTGGTGCGTGCCTGTAGTCCCAGGTACTCGGGAGGCTGATGCAGGAGAATCGCTTGAATCCGGGAGGTAGAGGTTGCATCGAGCCAAGATTGCGCTGCCGCACTGCAGCCTGGGCAACAGAACAAGACTCTGTCTCAAACAAACAAAAAAGAAAACATCCAGAAGAGCTGTGCACAGTGTCCCATGTCTGTAAACTCAGCCACTCAGGAGGCTGAAGTGGGAGGATTGCTTGAGGCCAGGAATTTCAGGCTCCAGGGAACTATGATTGCACCACTGTCCTCTAGCCTGTGCTGAGACCTCATCTCTTAACAAATAAAAATAAAAAGTCTAAGAGGATACACAAATTCTTAAGTGTTTACCTTTAGGGAAAGGGATTATGGGATCAGAGGTGAGGGAACTCGTGGTTTGGCTATTTCTCAATCTTTCTGCACTGTTTCAAATTTTTACAAGTGTTTATGATTGTACTTTTAAAAAGATTAGCTTGGCAACAAATCTCGCCTGAAGCGGGTGCTATTTTGAATAGTCTGAGTGAACAGTAAGAATTTAAATGAAGTAACCCCTAAACTCAGCCAGTCCCATTTTCTTTTAAACACTTGGAATATCTAATTCCATTTACACTCCATTCTTCAAATGTAATTTTAGAAGATGTCTTTTGGCTCATCCCTCGGTTTTAAGTATTATTATACCCTTTGGAGACTCACAAAACAAGCAGTCCCTAAATTCTTGCCTAGGAAAGTATCTTAGATTAAATGTTTTTTGAGAACCTTGAGAGTATATATGCTATGAAATAGAAGAAACAAGAATAGATAGTCATAAAGGCTGTTGATCACAGGCAATCTCTGCCGTCTGTAAGGTAAGTATAATATATATGGCAACCTGCTGAGTGTGAACCTGCAGCAGGTGAGGAAGGAACTGTGAACTCAACAGTCTTGTTTCTTCATTTCCCAGAGAGACACTCAGCAAAGTGAAAAGGACATTTCCTTCCAGATTATCTGAAAGAATTTCAATGCTTACCTTTAATCATGTGACATTATTTATCTTATTAATAGAAAAGAAGAGGTATTTATTTTGTGCATATTTTCAATAAAATATATGAAATGCAGTTGGTATATAGTGCAAAATATCATTAATTGAAAATATTTTAGCCTGATGCGACCGATTGTTGTTGCCTTTTTAAAATTCTGTTGAGATGAGCTTGTCAAGAAAATTTGAAAGATTCCAGGGGAAACATCAGAGTATTAAAATGCTTGGTTATTTTTAAGATAATGGAACTCTTTTCAGAAAAGGTAGCAATTAGCTCCAAGAGATATTTCAATGGCTGATATAAAGCTTTCCTTCCAATCACCATCAGATTTTTCATTACATTGCTTTGGGCAAGTACTAGCATCCAGTTTGAAACCGTTGGGAATGCTGAAGTACGGCAAACTGAGGTGACAACTTGGTCCTCAGTAGAGCCAGGCCTGCTTCCTAGTCTGTGGGATTCCACTTCTCTCCACTGGGCCTTCAAATTCAGTCTTGAGGCTAGGTGTGGTGGCTCATGCCTGTAATCCCAGCATTTGGGAGGCCGAAGCAGGTGGATCACCTGAGCTCAGGAGTTTGAGACCAGCCTGACCAACATGGAGAAACCCCATCTCTACTAAAAATACGAAGTTAGCCAGGTGTGGTGGTACATGCCTGTAATCCCAGCTACTTGGGAGGCTGAGGCAGGAGAATCACTTTAACCCAGGAGGGGGAGGTTTTGGTGAGCCAAGATTGCACCATTGCCCTCCAGCATGGGCAACAAGAGCAAAACTCCATCTCAATAAATAAATAAATATTGAATAAAGTTAGGAATCAGATATCAGTCAGTGGATATATTACCCCCCAACCAAAATAAAAACAAATTGGTTAGTTACAGATACAAGGAAATTGACACATCCATTAATGTTTTTTAGTCCTGTTTAGCATAGAGATGAGTTTGGGTACACTTCTCTTTTGCAGTAAGAAACATTGTCAGTCAACTGAAAATAATTTAGAAACCTAATCAGGCTTCAATTGTGTGTTATTACCCAACAGATCAGATCCAAGTCAAGAGAAAGACCCTGTGAAACTTCTCAATTTGTTAAAATTGACCATCGACTGGGAAAAACAGAGAAACAAACCTTTTCCTAAAAGTTAGAGACAGGGAGGCATGGTACCCCTTCTATTTGCTAAGGCACTCAAGGAGAAGGATCATATGCAATGGGTAATGTCAGAACCAAAAGTCTAGCAATTCTGCCAGACACATAGTAGGAACTTAAATATTTGTGGAATGGGCAAAGTCACATAAGAGGATTGGATGTCAAGAAGCCAGCTCGTGCCCTCCAGAGATTTTCCAGGCAGTTTCAGAGATGTGCTGCCCCCGTCTAATTGAAGGAAGGAAACAACTGTATAGAAGCAAATCTGCTCCATCCATCGCTGGCCTTTCAAAACCTACAATTCAGTGATGGCTGATAATCATAATGATGACTCATAAGTGTTGCAATATTCCTGCAGTACCTTCTGAATCATCAAAGACTCATTAAAATTCAGTATCACTTCACTACTAAGTACATTTTACCATTTGAATTACTGTATTTGAAGGTTGACCACCCAGGTATGATAAATGTGACCCCTGTCCTTTAACTGGAATATAGATTAGGCAAAATGTTTCCCTCCCCCTGCTATGCCAGATAGCAGAGCATCTGCTGCTGCTATAATCCTGTGGCAAAGGAGCCAAGCCTGACATCGTTTAAGCTAGAGAGGGGTGCTGAAGCGAAGAACACAGTTGATCAGGGTGAATGGAAAGACGCTATGGGACGAGGGAGTGTGTCCTGACAAGGATGTCAGCTCAAGCCCTGGGACGAGGGAGTGTGTCCTGACAAGGATGTCGTCAGCTCAAGCCCTGGAAGCCGAAGCGGCTGGTGTGTGGCAGAGTTGAGTCATTTCATGCCACTAGCATTGAGGGGGAAGGAAAACGCTAATTTTGGATGGTTTGTATCAGATTAGCAGGAGCATCTGACTTAAGAAAACAGAGTAATTACTGGTTTTTGTCAAGTGAAAAGTGAGGTTTGGTTTTGGATGCCACCTTTACAGTTTTACTTGAAAAGTGAGTAGGGTTGAAGAGAACAGGGGGAAGTTGAGATCTCTGGAAGGTAGGAAGAGAGAATGAATTTTCTAAAGGCTTTGTAATATAAGTAGCAAAAATTTGAGGGTATATCGTTTGGGATGAGAGAGGAAAGGAAAGAGTAATGATGATATGACTGCCCCCAAAATGGGGAGAGATGGAAAGGACTTTACCCAACCATTTTCCTACCAACATTAAAGGGATAAAACATGCCTTCTTTAGGGAAAAGGATGTCCCATTCCAGAGGGATGCGTATGCTTTTTTTCTAGACGGAGTCTTGCTCTGTCGCCCAGGCTGGAGTACAGTGGTGCAGTCTTGGCTCATGCAAACTTGGCCTCCTGGGTTCAAGTGATTCTCTTGCCTCAGCCTCCCGACTAGCTGTGATTACAGGTGCCCACCACCACACCTGGCTAATTTTTGTGTCAGGGTTTCACCATGTTGGTCAGACTGGTCTTAAACTCCTGATCTCAAGTGATCCACCTGCCTCAGCCTCCCAAAGTGCTGGGATTACAGGCATGAACCACTGCGCCAGGCCAACTTCCATTTTGTAGAGTTGATTGGTTTCTGGTTATCAAGGCTGTGCTAAGATTTGTAGTAAGAGAAAAATAAACATTTATCTGTCTTTTAAGCTTCTATTCCAATGAACTCAAACAGTGGTTATGACATTAGAGAGAGGAAATACTGGCTGGACAAATCGCCTTTACTTTTGCCTTAGCTAAGAACACCAAGAGGTGAAATATTTGCTGTAATATGGCATTTGTGCATTCATTTGTATTATCTGTTCATTCATCAAATATGTATTGGGCTAGATCCTGTGTCAGGGCTGGACATACAGTGTTAAGAAAGTAAAATCCCCTGCCCTCATGGAAAGCAACATTCTTTTCAGAGTTTGTAGGGAATAGACTCCCTCCAGTACCTTGTGTTGCTCAGGTCTTAAAGTGGTCTTCTGCTCTGGATTTAAAAGCAAAAGAGGCATCTCCTGGTCTCTCATGTAATATTTGGAGGAACATTATACATTGCCCATGTCTATTTCATGCCTCTTTCCCAAGATTTTACTGCTGCTTCTACATGCAGCTAACAGTAGGTAGAAAACTTAGAAAACTTTAACCTTTTTTTCACTTTGTCCCCTTAGGACCTCCAGTTTTGGACTTCATCAAGCAAGCCTGGTTTCATTTCTTCTTGCTTAGCCTGATAAACCAGTATGCTGTGTACCACTGTTGGTAACACCTGTACAAAGTCCTGGAGCAGAACTCTTTCTGAATGTTAATCTCTGTGTTGCTGTGCCAGAATCAGGTAAGAAGGTGTGTGGGTGTGTGGGGTTGTGCGTGCACGTGTGTACTTACAAATGTACACCATTCTGTATGTTAGAAGGAAAGTCTGTGATCAGCTGTGAGCATAAACACAGCTAAGTGGGTTCTGGGTTGCTTCATGAATGCAGATCCCAGAACAGCCGTCAAGCTTTCCCCTTCCTTATCTCATCACGACCTTTTGGGAACAAAAGTGCCCAGACATCTCCCCCTCGAGATTAACAAGCTGCACTTCAGAGGAGCATTTACTGATAAACATCTGCCTTCCAAAGAGAAACCATTTATTTAACAAGCTGCTCTTTGGAAATTTATAGTTGCAGCTTGCCTTCTTGCCATTGCTCTAAACCAATATTCCCTTCTTTGTCCTCCTCTATTTTTCTTTACTAAAAATTTGCTTTTTGGGCATTGGTATAATTTCCAAGGAGTCAGTGTTCACACTAACATAAATTTTTTTTAAAAGCCCCAGCTCACTTCAAAATTATTTTTTTGTTCACTCATAAAGGGTATTTATGAGTAAAATCTATAAAGAACCCAGTTTGTCATATTAAACTGCCAGGCTGTGCCCTCAGATGCCTGGAAAAGAGAAATTCATTTAACCACCAGATCTCCACCAGACTTTATCCTCATCACTCCTCGGTTCTGTGTGTGTTGACTTGCGCCTAGTCACTCTTGTGTGTTTGAGGGTATAGATAATTTTGTAACTTTACTTACTTTATGTGGTATATGTATTATCTCCCATATTAAATTGTGGGATACTCAAAAAGGTAAGAACTGTCTCTTCCACTTGCTTTGTATGTTTTAGAAGCTCTAAGGAGTTTGAAGAGAGCAGAGGCGATGTGTGTTAATAGTCTGACCTGAAGTGCACAGTTGTGTGAGGAGGCTCTGAGGTCAGACCTACCTTTGATCTTTTCAGAAAACCCGTATATGATTAGCTGTAGTGCATAAATAGGGTTCTGTGTTGTTTCATAAATGCATCCCCTATCATGCCTTCAAAAATTACTCACTAGGTGACTGTGGGCAGTTGTGTGGCCTGTCTATGAGGCGGCTTTCTCATCTGTAAATGACCGTAATGCTAGCTGACACTCACCTCATAGACAGTGCATGAACTCAATGCCTTAATCCACAGAAGACACTCAGCACAGAGCTTGGCTTAAAAAAAATCTGCATTAACTGAAGAACAATAATGAAATACATAATACGTTGTTGCTGACTATAGCCACTCGACTCTGCAGCTGTGCCTTATTTGTTCTATCTAACTGTATATTTATACCCAGTAACCAACCTCTCTTTATCCAAACCCTTCCAACCCACATACCCTTCCCAGCCTCTGGTATCTATCATTCTGTTCTCTGTCTCCATGAGATCAATTTTTTAGGCTCCCACATAAGTGAGAACAATATATACATATATTTTTACCTCATTTTTCCCATTCAGTTTTATGTCAGTCTTCAAAATGTTTTAAATGCCTATAGAACAGTCTATTTTAAACATGTACTGTAATTTTTGTAACCTTTTTTTTTTAATAGAACATTAGGGCATTTCCAGTTTTTCAGCATTGTAGGTTACAATAGAGTGAGTATAATTGAACACTAACCCTTTATTCATATGTCTGAGAATTTTCTAAGAATGAATTACTCAAAGCAGCATTACATTTAAAACCGTTGGTAT